AAAGCTTGCCTTTCCGAGGTAATGGCAGCTGGAAAGGTCTGCCACAGGCTTGTCTAATTTGTCACTGTAATTAAATTTGGCACCTGATACTTAAGTGGAGGATCCAAAGTGCCTATTTTCAAAGTGCCACTATGGCTGATACTCACCTTTCTAAGGTGTTTTCTTGTAGGACAGCAACCAAGCCTCCCAAAGAAACTTTAGTGCAGCTGAGATCACTAGAACTTTGTGATTATTATTATAATTGTATTACAATAGTATCTAGAGGTCATGATCCCATTGTGCTGGGCTTTTGGTTTCCCCTCACACCAGAAATGTAAATTTGATCAGATCAATGAATCCCAAGTGTTGTGTGAATACCAAACTGTATCAGAGTTTAATAGAGAATCCATGCTGAATTACACTTCTCTTCTGATGCCCAAGTTGTTAACTGTTCCTGGTCTGAATGAAAGAGTCTCTGCTTCAAGAGGTCTGTTGTTTACAACGTGGCATCATTGGCTACCTAGCAAGTCCAAAGTGCCTTCCGGGCCAGTGGAGGACAAGGAGGACACCACACTTTCCTTTTTCTTCTTTCCTGTATTCTTTATGTGAACTGTCTTGAAAGGTAGATTCTTCTCTAACCAGGACATTATTTCCATTGCCACAGAGAAACTTTGACCTCTAGTTACTCCCTGGTTGGAAGAGATATCAACACTCATGTCTCAATCACAGGCCAACCCCTAATGGGAGGGAAGGGGAGGCTTTTGCTTCAATTACTGTAATTGCCTAAGGTTTCTTGCACCTTCTACTGAAGCAGCTGGTTCTGGTCATTGTCATAGACAGGATACTGGACTTGAAAGGTCCAATGCTCTACGGCCATGTTTGTGGGTTTTACTTTTTTTTTTTAATTAATTTATTTTAAATAAAATAAACTAAATAAAAGACACACACCCTGATAGAAGTGTCAATATTAACTAAAAGCTATATAGGATATGAGATTCTTGGAAATTTATCTTCCAAGTATGTTTGCTTCCACAGTGAGTATTCAAGGGTCTAGAGCAGTGATATTCAGACCTCAGTGGTTCAGGAGCCAAATTAGTGATCAACGTTACCCAAAAGACCCACAGTAGTGTGAATTCATTGTTTCATTTACTATAGTACTATATATTCATATTTAAACAGTATGACAGGTTAATTACTTAGTGCAAGTTAATAGCTTAATTGGTTAATAACATAGTAAAAGCATCCTGATTGGTTAATAATTAAAGCACACAGTGTTTTAATATCATGTGCTGCAAAGAGCCACAGGAGACATATTAAGAGACACTTGCAGCTCGCGAGCCTCAGTCTGAGTATCACTGGTCTAGAGTGAAAGTTGGGTGTGACATGTGCCTTGCTGCGATTACCACCAGCCATTTACGACTCTGGATACAGAGGGTAGATCAAAAGGAAGAATCTTGTACAAGCACTGTGGCTCATACACAAAAACTATTTTTGTCTTCATCGTCATGAGGATTTTGTTGATTTGGAGGAAAATTTATCTAAGTTTCCTTGCATGCATCTACTCCAGATTTTTCCCTCTGCCAGGGTAATGGCCCCTTCTTGGATACACTTTGCATTGGTAGTAACTAATTGACTTCTATGCTGGCTTTGATAGTGAGGTTGATGCCTTTCTGCAATGTCAGTTACTAATTTCTCTAATGTGTCCTCCAATAGCTACTCACAAGTTTGCATGCACAAGGTATCAGTTTTGAATGAGTGAAGCTATTCCTGGGTATAATATGGCTTCTGTGTAGCCACCAAGTTATCACAAATCACATCAAGGGCTTGACCAAAACAAAATCCAAGACATTTCAGTCCAATCAAAAACCATACCTCTAGACAACGAGCCACAGTGTTTGCCACACTGTAGGCTTTCCTTACTAAATACGTGAAAAACCTATGGTCTGAAAGGGTATAGTGAGGCTTCGAAATTGCAGTGCAGTGTCTAAGGGGAGTTTTGGAAGGCAGTCCCCTTCTGAAGGTGTGACTTGTCTTTCCCTGGTGGAGCTACTGCTACACCAACGTTAGGCTCCCAAAATGTATGAAAAGCCTTTATTTTTATACAAACACATTAGTTGAACATTTGGTTTAATCAGATGTCCTCATTTGGATCTTATGATGCACTCATAGGAAGCAATAATGGGAAAATATACGTAAGAATACTTGAAAGGAAAGATATTTTATTAATATTAATCAGTTCCTGGCAAGTTACCAATTTTTTTTCTTTTTTAAAGCATGTGTGGTACTTCTTCCCCTGGCTGTCTAGGTGATACACTACTCCTCCCAGCACAGGTACCACACAACAGAGGAGCGGTATTGGTACACAGACTCAATTGTGGAAGCAGCTTGCTAGATGTGCCTGGGAACCTGCAAACCTGCCTGCAGTACCACAGTAAGTACCATAGGAGCAGCCTAGTACGACTCGGGGATTTAATTAAAAAATCAGGATCATTGTGAAGGGAAGGGAAGGGATTTCTTATTTACCCATACTCTTGTCAGTCAATGTTTCTCTATGGCTCTCAATTAATTCTTCATTTTCTTCCTCAACGATGTCGACGAAGCCATCACCACCCACTTGTCTGGCCACCTGAACAATGCCTTTCACTTCTTTGTCAATTGTCAGAAAACCCTTAAAATCGTTCACACACCCTTTCCATTAGGTTTCACCAACGTGCGTTGACTGTTTCAGGCTTGATTGCATTACTTATATTAAACAGGCAATGGATGCAATCAGCAATGTTGAAGGAATTCCAACACTCCATCACATTAAGTTTGGGATCAGCATCCATAGCGCTACATATCCGTGAGAATGTAAGAATTGCGTACGTGGCCTTGAAACAGAAAATCACGCCTTGGTCGAGAGGTTGGAGGTGGTATTGTGGGGGAGAAAGACGATTTCAACGTCATTATGCGCAAACCGGAGTGCCTCAGGGTGGCCAGGAGCATAGTCTATGATCAGCAACACTTTAAAGTCAAGTCCTTTCTCTTCGAGGTACCGCTTGACCTCCGGAATGAAACACTTGTGGAACCAATCCAGAAATAATGCTGTCGTCACCGAAGCCTTTTTATTTGATTGCCTTGAACACAGGCAAGAGATTTTTGTTCTTGCCTTTTAGGGCACAGGGATTTGCAGCCCTGTAGAGCACGCCCGGCTTTATTAAATGCCTAGCTGCACTGCCACAAAACAACACAGTCACATGGTCTTTAGCTGCTTTAAAGCCAGGGGCTTGTCTTTCTGATTTCGAAATGTAAGTGTGGTTGGGCCTTTTTCTCCAGAAGAGCCCAGTCTTGTCAGCATTAAAAACTTGTTCCAGAAGATAACCTTTTTCGTCTATGATTTTCTTTTATTGTTCAGGGTAGGCTTTTGCTGCCCCTTCATTGGCAGATGCAGCTTCACCAGTAGTCTGGACATTTTTGAGGTTGAAATGGTTCCTAAAACTGTTAAGCCAACCTTGGCTGGTTTTGAATTCCTTCTCATCGGAAGGCTGTCCCTCTTCAGTGGTAGGTTTGAACAGCGCGTAGAGGCTAAGAGCCTTTTCTCGCAACGTGCTGCCATCGATAGGCACATGTTTATGGTTCATGTCTTCCAGCCATAAGTTTAATGCCTTTTCAGTCTTCACTAAAGTCTTATAACGCACCTTGCTCGTCACCTTAGAAGTTACTGGAGCACTTGATGCCATAGCTTGACGAATTTCTCTCTCTCAAATCTTGATGGCACAGATGCTAAATTCGTTGCGGCCATATTTACACGCCATGTTGGAGACCAACGTACCATCTCTCAATAAGTCCAACACAGCCACTTTTTCCTCCAGCGTTCAAACAGATCGCTGTTTCTTTGGTTGAGCACCAGATGAAGTAGTTGGCTTGCGTTTAGGGGCCACATTGTATGAAAAATACGTATCTTTAAACACTAGAATCACACTCAGCGCGGCAAGATGCTCACACTAGGAGAGGCATGCGGGAACTGAGACCAATTGAGGGAACAGCAGATTCATGTCTCCCATCTTACGCTCATTGAGTGGAATGGTGGGCAGAATTGCCTGCACTATTTACAGGTATCTTTTTTTTTTTTTGTCGAGCGCGTACAGTTGAATTCACGTAAATTAAATGCGTGTATCATGCGACTCACCTGTACTACCGCAAGGACGACACATTTCCGTTTGCCTTTTAGGGACTCTCAGGCGTTTGCAGGACTTCTCCCCGAGTATCATGAGAATTCCTTGACTCCCAGTGGGAAGAAGGGAAGCTATGTTAGAGCCCTTCTCTCCCCTGTGAGCTGAGGGCCCTTTAGTTTCTGGGGACAGGGAGAAGAGGACAGCTTTCAATCCTTTCAGGGGTTTTTCTCCCTCCAGCTCAGGTCTGTTGTGGGACTTACCCCTTGAGCAGGCTTGATTCTCTCACTGAAAGTTCATTAGCGCTGGATTGGTCTTTTCTGCATTAGAGTCGTCGTTTCCTGGGGCAGAATGGGGACCTAACATGCCGGTCTGACTCTGAGCCCCATACCCTGGCAGTGCAAGGGTCGGGTGACTGACAACATGCGAGGCATAATTCACACTCTGCAGAGCTTTGAAGTGCTGCTTCACAAAGGCTTCATAAGTTGGGTGTCTGCAGCACAGTTCATGTAAGGCCTGAGTGGGTGCACAGGAGTTTGGCAGGAAGGAGCCGCAGTGGCAGATCCATGTGGTTGAAGCCACCATGCTGCTATTTACCAGGGAATGGGAGGAGGAGGAGGATTATAAAGTTGCAGCTGCATGAAAATTAATAAAAACAAAGGTTTTAAAAAGAAAATGGTCAGGAGACACTGAACTGCCAATTTTTTCCACAGCAGGAAGCAGAAAATCTGGTGGCCTGAGCTGAAGAGTGGAGCCTAGTCCTGGAGCCTTCAGCACCACCACTGGACTGCCTCCATATTCCACAGGTGAGGGCATTAGTCCATGAGTAATCACTGGGGAGAGAAGTTTTGCAACAGAAATATCACTTACCTTACGGCCTTTTGAGCTTGTGGATCCTCAATTTCTTTAAAAGAAACTTTTTTGACAATGATGCCCGGAGAATGACCTGCACTGACAGATTTTTCTTCTTCCAGTACAAGATCACGGAATGACTTTGGCAAAGCTGAATGTAATGAAGATGCCCTTTAAAAAACAACAACAACAAAAAGCTCAACATTTTAGACTTACATTTCTCAAGACTATATTTGTGAGTTGTATTAAATATGGGCTAGAGATCTACATGTTTTCATGTCACCAAATATAATTTTGCTCATCAACATATCTGTCAGGAATTTTGCTGTGAATATGGCTCAAGGAATTCACTTAGGGGTATACCTACACATTACAATATTTAATAATTTTTAATTGCTAAAATCTAGGGTTAAATACAACTAACAAACATTTGTGTTCTGTCAATAATAGAAATAATTAACGTGTTCACTAACATGATTGTTAACCGTTGTTAAAACGAGACTAAAATGTCAAGTGTAGCTATATGCTTGTAGTGTCAATTTTACTAGATCACAGACGGCAGACTCCTTTGAAGATAGAAGGCTTCGTTTTGTAAAACCCCAATATCAAATATGGGCAAACCCTGGTCCACAAGTTTCAGTAGAATCCTTACTCTATTACATTACATTATATATGCTATGCTGGGTACTCCCCTAAAATAAATATTTTGTTAAGGAAAAGTATAGATGTGTAGTATGGGAAAGTAACTGAGATGAGGAAAGTAAATTCCTACCATGAATACCCAGATCCATGCATTTTCCCCCTGCTCACCCCAATGTGTCCATTGCCCCTTTATTACTGATCTCCAGAACTAATGCAGGATAAAGAATCAACCTTCTAGATAAGTTTAGGCAGAAGTAGTTTATTTTTTGTTGAAGTGCAAATTTCTTGGTCTAAGATATAGTCAAGGTCCAGACTCCAGAGAAAAATAAATATTAATAATAAGAAGTAAATAAAAAGATTTCAGGGCGTGTTCAAAAGTGTCTGGCGGTCCAGATTTGGCCCGTGGTCCACTTACTGACTATCCCTGAGTTAAGGGAAGGGAGGAGAATGACTAACATTCTACTCAAAAGCTATTTCTATTTACAGGAGAAAAGAGTTATCACAACTTTATGATTCCCTCCTGTCAGGATCTCAGGCATCAATCCTGCATGCACTTAAACACATGCTTAACTCTACTATCATGAGTCGTCCCATTCATTTTAAATGGGACAACTCATGGTAGTCGTGTTAAGCATGTGAATTTCATTTAAAAAAAAAAAAAAGCCAGATTTTTTTTTACTTTTTAAAAAGATTATTTCTTTAATGCAGAATACTATCTACACCAAGGCAATGTTGGGTGAAATATAAACCTGTATCATGACCAAAGCAAGAAAAATTAAACATCTAGAAAACCAAACAGCAAGCACTGTTCAGGGAAATCTCAAACACATCAGGAACTGAACAGTTTAATACTACTTCATCAACCTGATGTACGCTTAACCTCAGGATTCAGCCAAAATTCAGCCAAATTCAGTTTTTCTCTACAAGTGATTTAAGCTATTACTCACAAATGCTCTAATGCACTCTTCTTCCTTTGCATGATTCAAGCAGTGCAAAGGGAGCAAAGCAAGTCACCAGCTTGGAATTCCCCTGACGTAGCATGTGAAGAGTCAGCGTGCACCTACTCCACTCCCACTACAGTCTTGGCATATGAGAGTTAGAAAGATATGACCAGAACATGCTGGCTATCCCCAGACAGTCCCTTGTGGTCCATTATTAGCTGGCAGAGGTTACAGGAGCCTCTTCTGGGACCAGTGCAAAACCCGCTAGAGAATTAGAAAACCTAACTAACTTGCTCCATGTCCCTCCTTGCCACAGCTTCATCCAATGGCAACTGGGCACAGCAGCGAACCGGCATTACTATTTTTTGTCATTTTCGGTAAAAACAAAATGAAGCTTATGAAAGCGTTACAGCCTAGCCAACAAACAACTAATGGCTTAAATGCAGTATCTTCACTAAACTCATCTTGCTTTGTGCACTGCACTTTCCACCTAATTTGTAACACACTAATTTAATTTGACCAGACTGTCTTTAAGAGAAAAGATATTTTAATTGTATTGAAGAAACTTAAAAAAATCTTATTCCTGGAATTTTGGCTGTACACAAACAAGTGTGAAGTTTCTTTATAGAAGAGCTATTGACATTCTGGTGTGTTATTGAAGGCACTTTTGACAGATGGAGCACCAGTATGGACTTCAAAAGTATTAAAATATATTATGATGCACAAAACATATTTTTTGCAACTAAAATATCGAGTTTTAATTGTTGTAAGCCTCCATTCCAGATAGACTCTAGGTATCTGAACCATATACACATATGTATCTGAACTATATATATATATATATATAACATCCAAATAATATATACACTACACACACACACGTAACATATGTATCTGAACCATACATTATATATAAAATCCAAATAAGGCTAATATTTTGTTTAATTTCTTGTGGGACATGGGAGTGTTTCAAAATAAAAGTACTCCTGACAAAGTTTATTATTCTCTACCAGTCTTCAAAGCACTTGATTTTAGCTTCAATCCCCCAACCTGTGAAATTGGAAGTTTCTTTTGGCATAAAAGAAAAGAACGGTAAAAGTTATATGGTGTCTTTTAATCAACCAAAGAAAGTGCCAGAAGGTCCCACACCCTTCTGGCAAATGTTCTTGCCAGTAAAGCTGCTGAATTTCCAAGACAAGTATCTCCTTTCATTGGAACACAAAAGCTCTATAAGCTCTCAATATACTGCATACATGAAAAGCAGAGTTTGTCATCAGATGTACTCTACATTTTGGATAAAAAGATCCACATTCCACATGGGTAAGTGATGCACCCAAGCTTACTGTTCTATACTTTTACAGAAAAAAAGATGACGTGGATGATAATTGTTAATACAACTTTTTTTTTTTTTTAAAAGAACTAGCACAAGCAACCAATAGTAATATACAGTTTGCCTGTTGAAGTTTAAACTTTATCTAACAAAGTTAATTCCCCTTTCCAACAGCTAGGCTATTTGAAACATTTATAGATTTCTCACTGATTCTCTGCTTTAACTCTTGGTTTAATCAAGATTTTCCATCTAAGTAGGCACAGACAGAGGAATATTGTAGATGAACATTTATAGGCATATGTGGCCACATGAAAATTAAACCAGAAAGTTATCCTTCAGTGGAAGATGCACTGGCCTTTTCACTTAAGATACCTGGGCCTGCATCACACACTATATAAAATATTTCAAAAGACTGATTTAGTAAAAATGTGCCCAACAATCTCTGGGTGCTTATACATTTAATATAAAAAGACACCAATTAACCAAAAGAATTGACTAAAAGTCAGCTCCCGCTAGCCAATAAATTAAACTTCAGCCACTAAAACCAATTTCTGGGAAAAGTTGGATGAACAGATGCCTTCAAACACCCTACAAAGCTTAATTCATCCTTTGTTGGACCACTGAGGAAAGTAAGTTTTGAAAAAAAAACCTCTCAGCTTGACATAATGTACATGATGTACCATCTTAAAGCAGAGCTAAAGCTCACTAACGTATGTACGAAAGATAAATTGCATCTGCCCCAAAATTACAGCACTTACTCTGAATCCAGAATTATTTGATAAAATGCAAATAAACAGTAATTTTTTGTGATAAGACAGATTTTCAAATTAATATTAAGAAATGTAACGTGTCAAGTATTTTCTTTGTCCAGAATGATTATTAATAATGGAACACCACAAATTCTTCAGACTTTCCATTCAATTGACATTAGTTAAAATACTGTGCATAGGTTATACAGTAACTCCTCGCTTAACGTTGTAGTTATGTTCCTGAAAAATGCAACTTAAGTGAAAAGATGTTAAACAAATCCAATTTTCCCATAAGAATTAATGTAAATGGGGGGGGTTAGGTTCCAGGGAATTTTTTTTCACCAGACAAAAGACTTTTATATATATATATATATATATACACACACACACACACACACAAAGTTTTAAACAAACAATTTAATACTGCTACACAGTGATGATGATTGTGAAGCCTGGTTGAGGTGGTAAAGTCAGAGGGTGGGATATTTCCCAAGGAATGCCTTACGGCTAAGTGATGAACTAGTAATTGACTGAACCCTCAAGGGTTAACTCGTTAGTGTAGCCTCACACTCTACAAGGAAGCATGAATGGAGGGAGGGGAGACAGCATGGCAGACAGAGACACACACCATGCGTGTGATAGAGAGATCCGCATTGCTCCTTTAAGTACGCTGACCCCACTCTAAGTAGATCAGCAAGCTGAGATGGCAGCTGCCAGCAAGCTGAGATGGCAGCTGCCAGGAAGCTCCCCCCGTCCTGAGCCGTCGTGTGTGTCCCCTGCTCTACGGAAGATGGGGTAAGCGGGTGCAAGAGCAGGAGAGAGGGGGACACCCTGACATTACCCCCCTCTTGCCCTCTCCCCCCACCCTGCACAGCAAGCAGTAGGCTTGGGGAACAGCTCCAAGGCAGAGGGCAGGAGCAGCACACGGCAGTGGCGGGAGGGACAGCTGAACTGCAGGCAATCGATAGCCTGCTGGGCAGCTGCCGCACAGGGAACTTAGGTGAGTGGGGAGCTAATGGGGGGCTGCCGGTCCACCCTGGTTCCAAGCCTTCATCAGCTAGCTGCAACGGGCTGCTCTTCCTGCAAGCAGTGGACAAAGCAGGCGGCTGCCAAATGACTATGTTATAAGGGAGTATTGTGCAACTTTAAACGAGCATGTTCCCTAATTGTTTCCTTATTAAGTTGCTGATCAATGTTAACCAGGATGACTTGAAGTGAGGAGTTACTGTACTATAATTACAACCTTTTTTCAAGTAACTAATGACTATGATATTAAATTGCTATACTGCTATAGTGCTCCTTGGAAAAGAGATGACTAAGAGGGGATATGATAGAGGTCTATAAAATCATAACTGGTGTAGATAAAATAAGTAAGGAAGTGTTATTTACTCCTTCTCATAACACAAGAACTAGAGGGTCACCAAATGAAATGAATAGGCAACAGTCAACCAGAGGAGCTCCTTGCCAGAGGATGTTGTGAAGGCCAAGACTATAACAGGGTTCAAAAACAAAAACTAGATAAGTTCATGGATGGATCACTTCTTAGAATCATAGAATCACAGAATATTAGGGTTGGAAGAAACCTCAGGAGGTCATCTAGTCCAATCCCCTGCTCAAAGCAGGACCAACACCAACTAAATCATCCCAGCCAGGGCTTTGTCAAGCCGGACCTTAAAAACCTTTAAGGATGGAGATTCCACCACCTCCCTAGGTAAAACCCATCCCACTTGATGATTAGCTGTTCTGTTCATTCCCTCTGGGGCACTGGGCATTGGCCACTGTCAGAAGACAAGACACTGAGCTGGAGGACTGAGGTGTACAAGCATTATCAGACACCAGGAGGAAGGTCCTCTGGTGAGGATAAAGAAGGTGTTGGGAGGAGGCCATGGGGAAGTAGCCCAGGGAGTTGTAGCTGTCACACAGCTGTTCCAGGAGGCACTCTAGACAGCTGCATTCCACAGGGCCCTGGGCTGGAACCCGGAGTAGAGGGTGGACCCGGGTTCCCCCCAAATCCTCCCAACTCCTGGTCAGACACAGGAGTCGTCGACCTGGACTGTGGGTTCAGAAAAACGGCCAAGCTGAGGGCTGCCATGAAGCTCCCAGGCGAGCAAATCCACCAGTAAGCGCAAGCCCCACCAAGGCAGAGCAGGAACTTTGTCACAGAACATTGAGCCACAATCACCATCACCAACCACAATTCCTGTTTAAAATTTTTAAGCTAAATGTACAAAAGTAGAAACACCACTGTTTTCTTGTAACTAAATAGAAGTTGTGACATCTAAAAAAAAAAAAAAATACTGCCCCAAAGGAACCATCAACACAAAGATAAATAAACTGAGTTAACTAAGATGACATACCATGCGCTCCCTGGTTTTGTAACTTTCGTAGGTGTGGGTGGCGTGGCTGTAATGGAAGTAGTTTCCAGGCTGTTTGTAACTGAGCCGTTATCCTTAGCCGCCATGGCAATCATTTTTCTTTGCTTCTGAGAAAGCCTGATTCCATGAGAAGCAGGTTTACTATGAATTAAAATGACAATTGGAAAAAGAGAAAACAACCGATCATTTAAAATACTAACCTCAAAAGACAGGTTATCTACCAGCACCCCTTATTCGAGTGTATCATCTACATATTCACACTTGAAGCACTAGTGCCTCTAGCGTCGAGTTGCAGAATCTTCTGAAGAGCAGTGCCCTTTGAGGATACTCTCCCTTCCCTCCCTGCCCCTTTCAAGGATCCCTAGAGCATAAAAAGTAAGGACTGGCCCAGACATCCTTCAGTTCCTTCCCTAGTTCAGGAAATTCTTTCCCAAGACTCCAAAGAAGAGGGGAAGGGAAGCAGCAAGTGTCAATATGCAGTGGCAATACTAAGAGCAACAGCTGCTGGTAGTAATTTCTCTCCCTCCCTCGAGCAGCCTCTATAGTCCCACTTGAGGAAGACTCGAAAGCAGTACAATTCTATGGAAGGTGGGCTGAGAGTGTAGGTGAACGCTGTTTGCAGAACTAACAAAATGAACATCAAAAAGAACAGGAGTACTTGTGGCACCTTAGAGACTAACAAATGTATTTGACCATAAGCTTTCGTGGGCTACAGCCCACTTCATTGGATGCATAGAATGGAACATATAGTAAGAAAATTACATACATATACACACACACACAGAACATAAAAAGGTGGAGTAAGAGGCTAATTAATTAAGATGAGCTATTATCAGCAGGAGAAAAAAAAACTTTTGTAGTGATAATCAAGATGGTCCATTTATACAGTTGACAAGAAGGTGTGAGGATACTTAACTTTAGGGAAATAGATTCAATATGTGTAATGACCCAGTCACTCCCAGTCTCTATTCAAACCCAAGTTAATGGTATCTACTTTGCATATTAATTCAAGCTCAGCAGTTTCTCATTGGAGTCTGTTTTTGAAGCTTTTCTGTTGCAAAATTGCCACCTTTAAGTCTGTTACTTAGTGGCCAGAGAGGTTGAAGTGTTCTCCTACCGGTTTTTGAATGCTATGATTCCTGATGTCAGATGTGTGTCCATTTATTCTTTTGCATAGAGAGTGTCCGGTTTGGCCAATGTACATGCTCTAAATAACAGGTCAAGAGTGTTAGTGACTGAAATTTCCTCTCCTGAATTGAGATTGAGACAGAGACAGATTGCTTAAAGCACATATAGGTGCCCAAGTAGCATCTTTGGAAAAAGATGATGAAAACAATAAGAATCCATCTGATGCTTTACCACTCATTTAGTTAAGTACACCTTGATTTCTCAGGTGACCAAATACCTACCAAATCATAAAAGGCATGAGAAAGATACTTGTCAGACTACAGTCAGACTAGGGGCCTGAAAGATTAAACCAGGGATGACATTTTTTAAACTGGAAATTGTGGTGAAGATATGCATAGGACCACTTTTTCTAACTGAGCTTATGCAGACTCAGCCTTCTGGACTGCATCTCACCAACAGCCTGTCCATATTTAAAGCTATGAGGAATGCCCTTTTACATGGCATAGATGACATACACATGTGAATCAGAGCAAAGATCCTAAGAGTTTTGTGAACGAAAGATTTCAATCTCATGGCAAAGGAGAGTCATGCACCAGAGGGAATAACCCAAGGACAGCTCAAATAAATCCATCCACTGCAGAATTGCTGAAAAGGGAAGTCAAATTTGCTGTGTCTCAGATATCACAACTTCCAGGTAGCATTACTAGTACATGGAGTAAGTCTTTCATAAAACTAGAGGACTGTACCATTCCCCCATGCATGTGACAGTAGTTGCTGACATTACAACCAATTCAGTCTCGTAGAACTCAAAACAGTTCTTCAAATGTTTGAAGTGTAATATATCAAAAGTAAGAGAAGAGCATCTCAGATTCATTCTCTTCAGCTACTGCAATGGGGAAACTTCGATATTTACTGCAGAAAGTTTTTGTCTGCTTGGTTTTTCAACAGGATCTACTAGACTTCAGAATAAACCTCCCCATAAAGCAACTCAGTAATTCAGAAGTCAGGCTGTCAACCTGAGAAGATTCAGGCTCAAATGGATACTTTCACCCCAGGTCTAAGACAAAGAACAAGGAGAATGGAAAACAGGATTTGTGGTACTAAAAAACTAAGATGTCCAAAGATGAAAGAGCCAAGACCAATTAAGGCAACGGACAACTTTTTGGATCCATTGTGACTGACCCCCAGACAGACCTCCTCAACCAATGGAATCAGAGGGAAGGCAGAAGAATTCCAGATTCCAGTAAGAAAGAGGAGTATGGTCAATGACAGTGGGTTTTGTTTGACCCTGAGGCAGAATTGGAGACAATAGGTGTTCACTGAATTAAGAAAACTCGCTGGGATATATCCTCAGTTGATAATCTGAAACTTTCACGTTAAGTATTTTTCCATTGGCCATTGTGACTACCTGAGTGCACATTCAGGTAAGTTTACAAAAAAAAAAAAAAAATATGAGAACCCTTTTGAGGTATCTAGTACAGATGACCAAGTTCAAGAAAGGATGAAGGCCCACAGAGGTCTTTCTAGCACTATAGCAGAATAGGTTTGAGGCTGAAGGGCCAAAGATGCAGCACCAGGAAGCCCAATATGACTGGAACGGAGACTTCCATTGCAAAGGTGTCAGGAGTTGCGTCCACTCCCCACAATCTCCAAACACACACAAGCTGCTCTGGAAATTGAGAGGCTCCTGTCAATGTGCAGTTGATCATGCATAAATAGGAGAAGCATGCAGATCCAATGATCCAGCATTGACAGGTGATAGCGAAACAGACTGCCAAATATCTAGTACCGTTGACAACAAGCTACATTAACTCAGATGGATTAGGAGATCCTATTTTCACTACAGCTGGGTAGAGAGCCACTTCAACTAACCGTTCACCAAAGTAACTGGTGAAACTAAGGACATTAGTGCTCTTGGTATTAGGCAAAACTTCAAAACTAGTAGTTCACTAGTACTCAAAGGTGCGGGATTATCAGCACCGGACTTTTGACATGGATGGATCTGAGGACCTAACACTGCCAATGCTGGCACCAGAATACTTCTAGCATGTGGTTTAGAGTAAACTGCAAAATCTTCAGCACCAAATTAGGCTGAACCAGACTAATTTAGGGACTTCTGTTTCTCATTGAGTACGCTAGAAAATCACTGAGCTGAGTCATCTAGGGACTTGGACATTGCTTCAAGGCAGATAAAGAGCCACTTAAGTGAGCAGTTCTCTTAAGTCAATGCTGGACTTAATGCCAAACTTAGTTAACTGGGCCTATGGACCCTCCCCTCATCAGCAGAGATGTCGGAGGCAGCTCTCTCACTTTGTGTGGGTCCAGATACCAGGCACCTTTTTTTTTTTTTTTTTAAAGAAAAAGAGGACAGCTGACTCATAATTTAACCAAAAAATAACCCTGAAATGGCAACTCTGCCATTTCAGGGTTATTTTATGTTTCTATATATCTCCAGTGAGGACACGGCAATCCTAAACTCTTCAGCCGTTAAGAAACTGAAGGGTAATTGGGACTCTCTCCCTTTTTGTACTTTCAGAGTCCTCCACGATGGGAAAGTGGGATGCATCCCAAGGGACACTGCTCTTCACAAGATTCTACATCTTGGCACCAAAAGTGCCAATAGCATAGCACAAAGTGGAATATGTAGAGGCCACTTGAAACACTAGAAGTCTATATGTTGGGTGGTTTTCGTGTTTTTAGGGTGGAAGAGAAGTCAGTTGCTTGCTTGGGCATACAAGGAATGAGAACTTCCTCCAGACATTACACTGTCACATTGATCCTCATAGCGAGATGGTGGAGGCTGCCCAGGATGTTCCCCTTTCTCTGATGAAGGCAGAATCATTGAGCACTGCCACATGTGGCCGATGACTTCAAAAAAACCACTAAATTTTTGGTTTTGTAGGTGCAGTTTTGCTGAGTGTTTCTGGTCTGATGTCTTGCTTTACCATGAGTTTTGTTTCCAAAATGGTCTTCTTATTTCATTCTATCTTGTGTTAGCTCCCTAAAATCCACAGAAGGGTGTCATTCAGGCTAGTATGTGGGAAAAAAAATCCTGCAAAATGTCCAATCTGCACTGAAATCTTCTCCCCCATCCACACCAGTGGTACTCTTTGGGAAAATACCATGCAACTGGGGAGGCTGGAGGAGGTGGTATGAAACAAATGATACCCGGAGAGCAACCAGATGGAAATTTAGATTATTTTTGAGTGGGGATGGACAGAGAGCAGAAAGGTTGGCCAGCTAGGCCACTGATCCCACATATGATCTGTTATTTTATTAATCTTTCCATTTATGTCTCCAGAGTCCAACAAAAGGTTCTGCACTAACTAGATAAATCAGGCCACTGCAGACAGAGATGTTCATTTTAAATGCATGCACAGAAATCCATAACAAAATGAATAAACAAAGCTGTGCAAACACAAAAAAGGACAAGAAGATTTTTTTCTTCTTTTAAATCTCAAACCATCTGAACCGCTAAGTAAATCCATAATGGCCTATTCTTCAACATCTCTCCTTTTTTATAGATATTGGTTTTTTACCAACCCTGCATTTGTCTTTGGCATAGTTCCACACTTCTGCATATTTTCTTCAAGTTCCATGATGGTTCTTAGATCCACAGCAGGAGGGCTGGCAGGGCTGAATGAAAAATAAAAAATTACCTTTCAAGGCATTCATTTTTACTTACATTCCACAGTTTCCAAACTTCACTGAAATCTTCTACGTCATACTTAAATTATACATCCGGGTACCATCGTATGTCTATTTCCTCAATTATGGCAAACCTCAAATAGAATGTTTCTGACCAAAAAAAAAAATTTTCTATATGTGTATATACAGAATACACAAAAATACTTCCAAGATTCATTACAATGTGAAACAAGAGGCAAAGTGTGATTTACTTTTTAAAAGCCATTGTAAATAAGATATTTAAAATTAGGAAACTTGTTCAGTAGTTGGCTAGTAACTTAAATATTATGGAGACACTGGTCACAACTCCACAGTTAAGGCAGAATTCCACTTTACACTTAAAGAAGCGATTAAACCTTATTGTTTTGTATGGAAAATATTTGTTATCCCTCCCCCTTCCCAAATTACAGCACTTACTCTGAGTACAGTGTGAATTTTCTAAGAATTTACAAGTAAATCCTTAAATTTATAAGAGAAAATTAATATCATGTTTCTCCAAATGATCTTATTAAAACAACGCAGACACTTCAAACTTTCCTTATAGTTAAAACTGAAACCTTGTTATATGCTACATTTGAACAAATTCAACGTTCATACCATAGCTAATTTAACTGCTACAATTATATAGGCTACAACTCTTAAGTGGGGCCACTGTGATGGGCTAATTCAGCCACCAGCATCCCTTTACAGCTGATTTGTATGTAACAATGCTAGCTGTTTTAATGAATTGGGGGTATGAAAGAAATTGGACACCTGGGTGAAGAGTTTTCATTGGTAGGATTACTTGGCCCAATTGTCACAGCTCCTTAAAAGTTCCAAAGCCACAGGATAACCTAGGGCATTACTGCTTGAAAGGCTCCCCACGGCACTGCTGTCTTGGTTCCACTGTGCTTTGACATCACTGTCAGGGGAAATGAGGCAGGCGCATGCGGGAGGCATTTCAAATCACAGAGAAACACCGGGACCCTTGGACAGAGTTCTCCTTGTCCTCCCTTCAGACAGCATAGTCTAATACAAGACTCCAAACCAACCGCAAGTCAGTGTGACCCTTAATTTGCTGCTTTGTGCTCCTCTGGCAATGCAAGGCAGCTTAAACCAGATTAATAGCTTGTGTAGGCTGCTTCGGTGTCTCAGTGACTCTGCCCTTAAAAGGTAAAACATTAAAAAAGTGATTTAAGCTTGATATTTTTAAGTGACTTGAAGATATGTAGTATCACTTGGTAGAATTCTTTCAGTTTCTCATTTAGAGTTTATGTACAAAATTTAATAATTTTTAAAACCCAAGGTAATTCCCAGAGAAAAACTATGTTGAGATACAGCTACAGTTGGGAGTATATATCAACTAACTTAAGAACAAAAAATATTACAGGGATACAGTCTATGCCACTGAATGAGGAAGTAGGCTGTCTTCAGCATTATGCTTCCATCAGACAATGCTGCCACACAGCATCACTATAATTAATCATTCCCGTGGCTCTTCTCTGAACCCTCTCCAACTTAACATCCTTCTTGAAGTGTGGATCCCAGAACTGGATGTGGTATTCCTGCAGCAGTCCCACCAGTGCCAAATATAGATGTAAAATAACCTCCCTACTCCTACATAAAACTTTCTCCGTTTATGCATTCAAGAAATGCATTAGGCCTATTGGCCACAGCGTAGCCCTGGAAGCTCACATTCAGCTGAATGTACAGGAATAAGGTATTGACGAAGATGGTACTATACAAAACAGTACTATCCATCAGCAGATGGAACATTTTTACTACAACATAGTACTTAAGATTTTAAGTCAGACTATACCAAATGTCATTGGTATTGAGATAGGATCTTCAGTTATTGAGACCGGCCTGTGCAGAGGACTGCAAGTCAAGTCACTGAAGATTTCCAGTGCTTGTCAGGCTTACCGGGAGCAGATTTGGACAAGTCAGAAGAATGGCCTCTTCTTGGCCAGTATTAGGGACAATGACTGTTGCCAAGCATCAGCTGAAGTTCTCTACACCTTCTTACCCTGGGCAGCAGAAGTCACTGACTGACCTGAAGGAGGACTGCAGTGAAGGTCCAGAACGCTTCACTGAAACACAAGATCTCCTAGTGCCAGAAGAACCCTTAGCTCCTGAGATAGCATCTCTTGTAGCTGGAGCACTAATTTGAAATTGACTTCAGAACAACTGCTTTCGAGGCAGGACCTCAGTCAGAATCACTCCTCAGAGTTCTCCATAAAAAATAATTTCAGTCAGGCATCACAGGCATTTTGCACAAGAAAAATATCTACAGATTGAACATTTATGACCTTCCCTTAGACAAAAAAGGCATTTAGTATGTCCATCATTTAAAGGCATAGCTGCCTCACAGGCAGGGTAGATTTTAAAACCTGGAGACTTAACTTAAGCCAACAGACCACCACATTGGTGCCAAGGTGAGACTTCAAAACAAAAAGTCCCCTCTTTGGGAATGAAAAAACCACTAAACCTATTCTAAGAAAGCTACAGGGAAGCAGTCAGATACCACACACCATCTCACTGCCATGTGTGGTAAGGAAACAAGTGGTGTCTGAAGCTGCTTTTCCCCTTCTGCCCTCCTCGGAAGTGGAAGATGGGGGGCACAGGCAGAAACCCAACAGATGCTGCTGAACAAAAGAATCCAAGCTCATGTACACAGGGCGCACACACGTACAGTGAGATCCATGTAGATAAAATACTAGAAGAACTACATTAGGAATCTATTTTTATTAATGTAGGAGGCTGAAGCTAACAAATTTGACCTTAAACTGCCTATAAACGCAATAATGTTCAAAATTGTTTGTCAAACATCCCCTCAAAAAAAGGGTACACTACAGTGACAACCCCAATTGCTGCACTAACACTACTGTAAAATGAATGGTTACCTCACAATACTGTAGTACTATTTTTTAATTGAAGGATGGAGGAGTAAAGGATCCAATTAACAGAAAGAGCTACTTTAAAATTTTAAAACCCTTTGAGACAGTGTCCCTTTTAAGATGTATCTAATGGTTCTTTATTATTCAAGAGAAAGCAAGCATATCAATTTGCAAAAAGAAAGCCAACATCCTTAGCCAACATGTCAAGTGTTGCTGGTATCATACGATCAATTTAAACACAGTTAACTTTTCACTTTGAAAAGAAGCAAGAATATTAAACTACTAATGTTCACTATCTTTTACCAAATGGAAAGCACAGTACTTGTCAGCTAATTATTTACAATAAATTTTATTGTACCTGAAAGAAGTAGCAACCCAACTTGGAGAGCTTGCAGAGTTGTTTTTAACACTGGGAATAGACTGTGGAACAGACTGTTTCAGAGCTGATGATCCCTCACATAATTTCATCTCTTTATTAGAATGTGGGGCTTTTATACTCTGAACATACATTTTGTCTTTCATCTGAAACATAAAAGAATTCTATTGAAACAGGGTTTTTTCCCCATTTAGAAAAGGGTGATGTTAGAAGTGACATAAGTTGCGAATATTAAAGTATACATGAAGAGGCTCTACATGTAATATCAGAAGCATCAGATGTATTTTAATTAATCCCAGCTCAATCTGCATTATTTATATTATTTTTAATTGACAGCATCCATCAAAAAACAAGAATGACCTTAGAACTATGTTCAAATACATTACTAGATAAACTAGTATACTACTACTCCTAGAGATTTGTTACAGGTCTAAAATAACAATTTTGATACTGGACACTAACATGCACACAGATATGAATTAGTCTCAATTCTTGTGAACTTAATTTCTCTTTATAAATCCTCTCTTTAATTACACTCTTAAAATTATCCTCGCCAGTAATCTTTTTACCAAATACATCAGGCTAAGAAAATTAGCTTTATTTTGCTAAATCTGAGGTTCCTTTATTCTTTCAGATAAATATGAGGTAGGGATTTTAAACAATATAAGTCTAAGACATCAGAGAGTTGAAAATTTCAAAAAACAAAAGGGGTATAAAACGAAACATGGTGTTTAAAAACTCCTGATACCATACATAAACAAAATATCAGCACTATCTATTAAAACCACAGAGGATTTTTGTTGTTTATTTTAATATTTCAGGATGAGAATGTGACTAAACTGTCTTTCTAAAGGCACCAAAAAAATCAAGGTTTGAATTTTTTTAAATTACACAAAGAAAGGCAATAAAACATTAAGATAAGAAAATTAAAAAAAAAAGAAAAAAAGATTTTTAGGAACCAAAATACCTCAGTTTTATCTGCTTGAAATCCTGTTGTGAAGTCAGGGGATTGTAAGTCTCTGGGACTACTCACTCCTGCATAACTACCTTCAGAATCGGATGTCAGCAATTCTGGAAGCGACTCCACAGAGTTAGCCTTATCCAATTTTATTAAGCCTAAAAGTATTGGATAAGAATATAACATAGAACTATAACATGAAAAGCAGGATTGTTATACAATGCTTATATAAGAAAATATACAGACCTGGAAGGTGGCATCATATTTTGAACATTAGACAATTATAAAACTATAAATATAAAACTAAAAAGGGTAGTTCATTACATAATCCTATACAGTTGCAGGTAACCATCAATTTTCAAGCATCATGGAGCAGAATAAAATAGCTCCCCCTTCTCTTCCTTTCTCTAATCTGATTCACACAAACTATTTGCTTGAAAAAGGAATGCATGCATTTACTTTTTCTATTTCTCACCAACTGGACAATGAACAACAGGCTAATCAGATTCCAGTCATTTTCTTTCAGGGTTTCAAGTAGTGATTCAATGTTTGGGCTGCCAACATTACAGGGGAACATTTAAGTTACAAAACAACAACAACAAAAAAACCATGGAAAAAATGTCCTTTAGTCTTAGTTTTATAAAAGGCTTGTTTTCCTAAAAATTAAGTTTGGGGCCAAAGTTATATCCCTTTAAAAAGGGAAGAAAAAACAGTATCACTTAATTCTATAATTCAAAAATAAACCATTATAATCCATACTGAACATTTACAAAAAAAGTTGTGTGTTAAGTAAGAAATTCTTCTAAAGATGAACAGATAGCAGAGTATAGTATTTCATATTAAAGTTGATGCTAGACTTTGTGATGCCCGAAAGTTCATTTGCCACTAACCTGTGGAGGGTGGACTCTGAATAATATCCGAAAGATTATATCCTCCAGAGCTGTCTGATCGTCTTCGTGGCTTCTTTTTAGCCTTCATTTTTGCCTTTTTGAGAAGAGCTTCCCTATGCAGAAAATTTTTATATTTGAGAAGTCTTTAGAAATAACAAAGTTAATATTGTTAAATCACTCAGACAATATGAAAACTTATTTATAGACTGGGTTGTTAGCAGCAGTTATGATTATGTATATTGCATCAAGAGTGTATGCATGAGCATGACAAGTCAAACTAAACTACAGTACTGGCGAGGTAGATATATCAAGATTAATATTAAGCTTTTCTTCTCATATAGTCTTGACACTTGCATGTTCATTAAACCAGATATGGACTTTTGAACTAGCGTGTGGTGGATTTAGCACTCCTTACATGTAAGATCTAAGTAAATGGAGATGGTAAAAGAGTAATTGTAAGAAAAGGTACTTGACTGGAGCCAAAAGATGTCCATAGGTGAGTCACAGCAATGGAGACTGAACCTCAGATTCAGAGTTGACTGATTTAAATCAAAGTGATATAAATCACCAAGGAGAAAACCTCAATTTAAAGAGGTGATATTAGTCAACTTTTCCATTTGTTCTTCAGTTATTTTCTAAAGAAAGGTGCTTTCTCATTGGTTGATAACACCTTTAAAACATGTTTATTTACAACTAAATAGAGCCTTTACACTAGATTTGGTACATCTTTTTGCTACCTAGATGGTATAATGTAAGTATATACATTTATTTAAGTAATTATATAGCTTAATATTTTCAGATTCTTATTAACTGTACATTTTAGTAGGTTAGAAAATGGTGATGTCACTTGTTTACTAGATAATTAACTTTTTGCTCATGATTTGTGTCCAGCAGCATTCTAATGGTAACTGGAATTTTAATAAAAAAAAATTTTGTTTGTTTAACAAAACCATCATAAATGTTGTGGATACATAAACTTCTCCCAGCAAAACATGTTTCACATTTACAACTAAATAATTTACTAAACAGATATTAACTGAAGTCAGTTAGTTAAACTGATTATTTCAGATCAGCCTGGGGAAAATTTCAAATTTATTTAAGTGAAAGTGAATAGAGCTTAGGTTTCTACTCATCTATGTCTCATTTTCAAGAGACTGTCTACTACGTTACTTAGTGACCCCACTGTACCATAATTATAAAGCCTGACCTCGCAAGTTAGACATTTTCCCCCGATTCTCTCTTTATACAGAAAAGCAGCCTTTAAACTCAAAGTTTTTGATGGAGACTCATGGATTCAGCATATTTATTTTTTTATTTAAAATGTTTTGAGAGACTATAATAAATTTGGAACTTAACATTTTGTATTTAATTCACATTTCATTTTGAACACATTTTTTTTAAAGAAACAATTTTAAAAAGTTTTTGAAAAATCTGGTTTTAAAAAATCCATTTTTAATTTTAATTATTTTTTTTAAAGAAATCACTGATTTTTATCTACCCTGCTGAGCTTTCTAGATCGAAAACTATGTGTCTCAACTGCCTAAGCTAAAACATCTAAGTCTGTGAGCTTAAAGCCATTAGCAGATTCAAACCTCTATTTGTGGCCAAACCACCACTAGTGAGAGACAGAGAGCCCCACTGAGTAAGCATATGCAACCTATGCAGATATTCAGGGTAGCATTGAACAAGATCCGTGTGATCTACTGAAATGGTACAATAATGAGCACACTGAACCAAATGGTAACCTTTGGTGTCTTAATAAAACTACTCTTAATTCTGTTAAAACAGTAGCATGACTGGAAAACAGCTAAGTACGCTGTTGCTGACAAAGGAGGTGCTGTCGTAATCATGAAGAGGTTGGAATATGAACAAGAGGCTGCTAGGCAGTTCTCCACCACCACTATCTACAAGCCATTACCCTCTGATCCCACTGAGGGTTACCAAAAGAAGCTATACCATTTGCTCAAGAAACTCCCTGAAAAAAAGCACAAGAACAAATCCGCACAGACACACCCCTGGAACCCCGACCTGGGATATTCAATCTGCTACCCAAGATCCATAAACCTAGAAATCCTGGATGCCCCATCATCTCAGGCATTGGCACCCTAACAGCAGGATTGTCTGGCTATGTAGACTCCCTCCTCAGGCCCTACGCTACCAGCACTCCCAGCTATCTTTGAGACACCACTGACTTCCTGAGGAAACTACAATCCATCGGTGATCTTCCTGATAACACCATCCTGGCCACTATGGATGCAGAAGCCCTCTACACCAACATTCCACACAAAGATGGACTACAAGCCCTCAGAAACAGTATCCCTGATAATGTCACGGCAAACCTGGTGGCTGAACTTTGTCCTCACCCATAACTACTTCACATTTGGGGACAATGTATACCTTCAAATCAGCGGCACTGCTATGAGTACCCGCATGGCCCCACAGTATGCCAACATTTTTATGGTTGACTTAGAACAACGCTTCCTCAGCTCTCATCCCCCAATGCCCCTACTCTACTTGCGCTACATGGATGACCTCTTCATCATCTGGACCCATGGAAAAGAAGCCCTTGAGGAATTCCACCATGATTTCAACAATTTCCATCCCACCATCAACCTCAGCCTGGATCAGTCCACACAAGAGATCCACTTCCTGGACACTACAGTACTAATAAGCAATGGTCACATAAACACCACCCTATACCGGAAACCTACTGACCGTTATTCCTACTTACATGCCTCCAGCTTTCACCCAGACCACACCACACCACACCACACGATCCATTGTCTACAGCCAAGCTCTATGATACAACCTCATTCGCTCCAACCCCTCAGACAGAGACAAACACCTATAAGATCTCTATCAAGCGTTCTTACAACTACAATACCCACCTGCTGAAGTGAAGAAACAGATTGACAGAGCCAGAAGAGTACCCAGAAGTTACCTATTACAGGACTAGCCCAACAAAGAAAATAACAGAACGCCACTAGCCATCACCTTCAGCCCCCAACTAAAACCTCTCCAATGCATCATCAAGGATCTACAACCTATCCTGAAGAATGAGCAATTACTCTCACAGATCTTGGGAGACAGGCCAGTCCTTGCTTACAGACAGCCCCCCAACCTGAAGCAGATACTCACCAGCAATCACACACCACACAACAGAACCATTAACCCAGGAACCTATCCTTGCAACAAAGCCTGTTGCCAACTGTGTCCACATATCTATTCAGGGGACACAATCATAGGGTCTAATCACATCAGCCACACTATCAGAGGCTCGTTCACCTGCACATCTACCAATGTGATATATGCCATCATGTGCCAGCAATGCTCCTCTGCCATGTACATTGGCCAAACTGGACAGTCTCTACGTAAAAGAATAAATGGCCACAAATCAGACGTCAAGAATTACAACATTCAAAAACCAGTCGGAGAACAATTCAGTCTCTTTGGTCACTCAATTACAGACCTAAAAGTTGCAATTCTTCAACAAAAAAACTTCAAAAACAGACTCCAACGAGAGACTGCTGAATTGGAATTAATTTGCCAACTGGATACAATTAACTTAGCCTTGAATAAAGACTGGGAGTGGATGGGTCATTACACAAGTAAAACTATTTCCCCCTGTTTATTCCCCTCCCCCCAACTGTTCTTCAGACGTTCTTGTCAACTGCTGGAAATGGCCCACCTTGATTATCACTACTAAAGGTTCCCTCCTCTCCGCCCCCCCGCTCTCCTGCTGGTAATAGCTCACCTTACCTGATCACTCTCCTTACAGTGTGTATGGTAACACCCATTGTTTCATGTTCTCTATGTATATAAATCTCCCCACTGTATTTTCCACTGAATGCATCCGATGAAGTGAGCTGTAGCTCACAAAAGCTTATGCTCAAATAAATTGGTTAGTCTCTAAGGTGCCACAAGTCCTCCTTTTCTTTTTGCGTATACAGACTAACACGGCTGCTACTCTGAAACCAGTACAAACATGGTCTCCAAAATAACTATGTTATTACACTGGTAGTATAGCTTCTAAACAGTCATGTAGACAGGATGCTTATCCTTAGTCAAACAACTGGAAAAAGTGGGGGGAAAAAATCCAAACAGCTTTTATTTATTGTACCAAAATTAAAGAGTTACGTGACCCATAACTGACTACAGTATTCCTATTTCATAGAATTTCTATTGTTCTTTCACACATAACAATTGTAATAATGTACTTTAAAAGGTCCAAGAATGAAATAAAGTAAAGGACACAATGAAACAGTTGTCGTGGACTCCTGATAAGGCTTAGGTACTTTGCGAGACTTTAAGACAAAAAGTCAAGCCTCCCAAAAAGGGCCAAAACTTTTTGCACTGTTGCAACAATTAGCAAATGTAATATACCTTTGTTGTTACACTGGATTATACAGTTTTAATCTTAGCCAATCATTCTTCTTCCTATATTGCCTATTTTATCCAGGCTCCTACACGACAGTGACGTATAACAGATTTTTAAAGTATATTATATATTCATAATTTTAATCTTCTTCACTGCTCCTGAAACACGCACTGGGTGGTACGACTTAGGGTTTAATTAAACCATTTCTGGAGCCTCAAGTGGAAGATAATCAGGAATGTGACTACTGATTAACTGTGTAGTATGAATTTTAAAAGCACTAACTACCCAATTCTAATGTGTCAAAACTTGGAAGATTTGTTATGTTCCTCTTCCATCTAAATGTGGTATGCTGCAGCATTATTTGCATCCATGGTGCTTACTTCTTCTTTCAGTATTTTCCAAAGAGAAAAACTTTAGAATATTCAAACAGGTGTTTAATAAATTATTTGAACACAGGTTTGCCAACGTTCTAGATCAGCAGCTTTTTTAAAAAAGCTATATACATAATACAGCCAGTTAAAAAAACGTTGTTTCTCACAGCACGGTTCATGGGACCCTATGGAGTACTGCAGGATTCAGTGGGTCTGCCAAAGACCCGATGCTTTGTCCTTATCAAGCATTATTTGACACCATTGTATATGCTAATATTACCAGTGCTTCTGTGGAATACTGCAAGCAGCAAGAGGGAATCTAGAAAAAATTATCTAAGACTGGTGGAAGATATGCAAGTGATGTTATGCATACACACTCTTCAGTCAAAGATCACATACAAAGAAGAGTACAATGACATAGGAGGGACAAAGGAGGAAAAATGGTTTTGTGATTAAAAGAAATAGGACTAGGAGACAAGAACTGTTCTATTCCTAGTTTCCTTTGCATACAAGAAACTATAGCTGACTTAGAAAGCAAAATTTTCCAACAGAAATGCATAAAAAAAATTTGATTTTTGAAAATTTTTAATCAGCTCCACAAATCACTTAATTGTGACTGAGTTTCCAGAAATTGAAAATGGGGAATATGCATATTTATCTCAAAGTTGTGGCATTGAAATCCATTTCTGTAAGTGGTTTGAAACCCTCTGACAGAAGGTGACTTAGAGATGCTTAGTATTATTTTTGAACAATTCTTGAATTCTCAGTTCTTACAGTTATCATAAAAGGTCTACTACTCTTCTCCACATACTCTGCTGGAAAATACATAAAAGGTGTTATGCAGTAGGAGGTAGTGTTGCCTAGTGGATATGCACCAGACTTTCAGGAGACATTAATTCTGTACCAAGCTCTATTAATAACCTATTAGGTGACCTTGAACAAGTCACTTCACCTCTGTTCCTCAGTTTCCTCATTTTTTGTAAAATGTAGTAATGATGCCAACCGCCTCTGTAAAGCACTTTGAAATCAACTGCTGAAAAGTGTTATTTTTTTATTATTCACAAATTCTGTTCATTCAGCCTCAAGTCACTTCTTCCTATGATTCCCATTTGCTACTTGCAAAAATACTGGAGTTAACTGAAGCACACGAAAGCTACATAAGCTACAATAGGATAATAAGAGCCCAATGCCTTTGTAGTGGCTGCACAGAACTCCATACATCTAGGTCGGGGTGGGCAAACTTTTTGGCTTGAGGGCCACATCTGGGTATGGAAATTGTATGACAGGCATGAATGCCCATGAAATTGAGGGTTGGGGTGCGGGGAGAGGCTCCAGCTGGGGGTGCGGACTCTGGGGTGGGGATGAGGGGTTGGGGGTGCAGGTGCTCCGGGCTGAGACCAAGGGGTTCAGAGGGCAGGATGGGGATCAGGGCTGCAGGCTCTGGGGGGGCGTTTACTTCAAGCAGCTCCCAGAAGTGGTGGCATGTCCCCCCTCTGGCTCCTACATGGAGGTGCAGCCAGGCGGCTCTGCGCATTGCCCCGTCCGCAGGTGCCACCCCTGCAGCTCCCATTGGCCATGGTTCCCAGCCAACGGGAGCTGTGGTGGGGCGACGCTTGTGGAAGCCCCTGGCTGCCCCTATGCATAGGAGCGGGGCGGGGAGGAGAGAGAGACATGCTGCCGCTTCCAGGTGCCGTGTGAAGCAGGTACCCTGTTCCCTGGCAGGAGCTTAAGGGCCAGATTAAGATGTCTGGAGGGCCGGATGCAGCCCCTGAGCCTTAGTTTGCCCACCCCTGATCTAGCTGCACTCTATGCATACACCTGACTTCACCTCCTACAGTTCTACTAACAGTGCCACCAGTCAGAATGAGTGGTAGGAGAAAAGAAACTAGCAGGGGTCTACCACATTTCACTGCACAGAGAGCTCTGAAAAAGCGAAGGTCAGTCTGATCAGACATCAGAGGGAAAAAGCTTATTAACCTTTTAGAGGGGAAAAAAGCCACAATTTTTTTTTTAAAAGCGTGTAGTATGAGGCTCATTTGCAAACAAAATTTCTCTTACATTGAACTTTAATACAGTACAGCAGATGTAAACTTCTCCAGCCCTCAACTATAATTAATTTTGGTTTCTTAAACATTGTTTCTAAATGCAGGTTTTCCATAGAATATTAAATAGATGTCCTCGCCTCTCTCTTTGGTGATCTTATTTGTTCCCATGGCTTCTACTACCACTTGAATGCCAAATGCATCCCCTTCTACCCATGATCTCTCATGCTCCATCTAGTCATAGATCTGTGCCTGCCTCTGACACCTCTTCCTGGACCCAGCAAGTCTAAAACTGGGTTTATCATGTCTCCTTCAAAGCCTTCTGCTCTTGAACCCTTTTTGTTAATTGCACCACCATACATCTTGCTACACAACCCCACAATATGGAATCATTTTAAAATCTTCTCCAATTTCAAGATCCAGCAGATCTTGCCACTTCTTCCTCTAGTCCAGAAGTGGGCAAACTACGGCCCGCGGGCCACATCCGGCCCACAGGACTGTCCTGCCCTGCCCCTGAGCTCCGAGCCGGGGAGGCTAGCCCACAGCCCCTCCCCTGCTGTTCCCCCTCTCCTGTAGTGATGCCGCTGCGTGGGCAGCGCTCTGGGTGGCAGGGCTGCACGCTCATGCAGGGCAGTGCGTCTGGCTCCGGTTGGGCAGCGCGGCTCCAGATATGCTGCTCTGAGCAGCATGGTAAGGGGGCCAGAGGGTTGGATATGGGACAGGGAGTCCCGGGGGGCAGGCAGGGGACAGGGAGCGGTTGGATGGGGAAGAGGTTCAGGGGGGTGAGGTCCCGGGCGGGGGGGGCAGTCGGGGAAGGGGTACCGGGAGGGGGCGGTCAGGGGACAAGGAGCGGGGGGGGAGGGAGGCAATTGTGGGCTGGGGGGGGAGAAGTGCAGGGGTCGGATGGGGGCAGGGGCCAGGCTGTTTGGGGAGGCACAGCCCTCCCTAACCGGCCCTCCACACAGTTTCGCACCCCAGTATGGCCCTTGGGCCAAAAAAAGTTTGCCTACCCCTGCTCTAGTCTCTAAAAATTTGTTAATTCCCCTCCTACTCCCTATTTCTCATGCTTTGGTTACTTTAACACTCTCCTCTCCAGCCACCTACACTCCCATCTTTCTGTTCCAACTACAATCCACTCAAACACTGTCACCTCACTCCCAATCAAAGAAGTTCTCTTTTTGATATCATCTCCTCTTCCTCCTCAAATCACTTCAGTGGATTATCCCCACTCCATTTAAAGTTTACGCTTATCTTTAGTTTCAAGGAGCCCCATAACTCAGCTCATTATAACTCCATAACTCAGCTACATAACTAGCCTCATCTCCACTCAGCCTAAACATCATTCTGAACTGCTCCTTTTGCCATTTTTGCTCACCTCATTTTAACTTTGAAAAAGATTTTGGAACCTGCATTTCTTCTATTTTTGTATTTTAACTCTATTAGTTTGGTGCCACCAATGCTCTTGACTTTTAGCTGTGAAGAGAGATAAATCGGTATCCTAGAAGAAAGATACTGCTATGTGTAGTTCACTTGGTTGGAGTGATGAATGCCAAGAACTACAGAGGCCAACTATTTCAGCAATCAAAGGAAGAAAACATAAGACTTACTGAGATGTTAGTTCTGTATTCATTTCTTCTTTCAAAAAGACAAAGTTTTCTCTGTCATCAGGCTCCAAAGAGCTAATGTCAGGTCCATCTTGATATGGAGTAATCACTCTCCTGACCATAGCTGGAATCTGAAATATCAAGAGTTAATGTTACACTGATCCTCTTAAGCTGTATAGCAGAAAGCAAACTATTTCTTGCAGAAGTACCAGATCAGTGGTTCTCAAATTTTTTTTTTCACGGATCACTTGAAAATTGCTGAGGGTCTCAGCGGACCACTTAACGATCTTTCCAAATGTTGTTTGTACCATTAGCTAACTATTGTAACGTGCTTTGGATAAAAGTACCTCATTAAAAAAACCTTAATAATAATTAACTTTTTTTGTTCTAGAAATAAAAGCACACAACTCATTTTCATATCTTCCCTTTCTAATGTGATGGATGTGCCCTCTCTCCCCTGCTGCAACAGCCCCTGAGCTGGGGCTGGGAAAGAGGGGGGTCTCTCCCTCTCTCCCCCTTCATGGCAGCCCCCAAGCTATGACTGAGAAGGAGGAAGGTCTCTCCCCCGCCACAGCACCCACAGAGCTGAGGCTGTGGAGGAGGGCCATCTCTCCCTGGCAGCAGCAGCCCTGGAGATAGGGAAAGTCACCCCTTTCTCTGGCCACCACAGCCCTGTAAGTCCCGAATTCCCCCCACTCCCTCTTCTCACCCCATTTCCTCCTCCCACCTACCCCCTATTCCCCCCAAGGCCACTAGCTCACCATACATGTGCATCTTCTCCAGGATCCAGGCACCTAATTAGCAGAGCCATGCCTGTGTGACTCCGCTAATTAAGTGGGTGGCCCTTCATTCTCTCATGTGTGGCCACCCAGGTGTACACTTTAGAGAGATCTATCTGCGGACCACCTGAATGGAGCTCACGGACCACTGGTGACCCGCGGACTGCAATTTGAGAACCTCTGTACCAGATTATAATCACTTGAATACATAATTTTAGAATCCAGGTATTATCACCATTATGCATTACAGCCTACAAGACAAAGGAAATTGATCATTAAAAAAAAAAAGCATACACACAAACACTGCCACATCTACACGTTCTTTAATTCTTTTAAAGAAAACGTAGAGGTTCAGAACTTAATTTAAAAACTGACTAGGATACTTCATAGAAGAATGGCACAGATTTATGCCCAATCACAGTCTCTTACCATTTAAGTATTAAAGAAGAAAAATAGTTTATACTGTATGCTGACTCTCCCTTGCTTACTGGCAAAGTTTCACTCATTTCTTTTGTTTCACTTAATATTAATTCTTCCTACACTGCCCTACTGGTATTAGAACAGGAAAGCAGAATTAGATACTCTTGGAAGCTACCAATTCCACTAAAAATGAGTGTTACCTCTTCCCCCCCACACCACAAATTCTTCCTCTGCATAGAATTACCCGACACTCGTTTGTTTACTAAAGCCAATTTAGAACATATGTTTTGTGGTGCCATTAATACCATTAAATGCATATGACTGATAGTCTTAATGGAACACAGAATTATGCATGTTGCAGTGGTAATAAATGTGTAACTATCAGAAAATTTCCAAAGTAAAGAAAAATTTAAAAAAATATAGATTAAATTTATTTCTGGATTAATGTTTTGAAAGGACCACTGCCCACCTGATGAGCATCTGACACACATTTATCAGCTTAACTCAATGTTCATTTTTAAAGTAGTCAATTTTCACTGACCTAGGTATAGCTTACCATTTTTCTGTAAGACACAGAAAGGTCCCTCAAAACTTCATCACTTAAGACATCTAGAGTCCTAAAACAAGATAGATAGTTATAGCCTCGGTCTCATTTACCATACTTTAAGTCATTTGATTCAAACTGCAAGATATTTGTTCAATAGGATTCAAATAATTACAGTTTAGGGGTACACATATGCACAGGTGATAGCATTAGATATTATGGTGATGGGCACTAACATCCTACTTTAGCTAGATCATCAAATCTTAAATTACTTTCTCATCTACCTTTTGCCTACTTGTTTGGCTCCTTTACAATACAGTCTAACAATCCAAGGCATTGCATAGCTTCTAACAAGCAAGTTTTTGTTTAGTTTTTTAATCAATTTGCTACATAAAGAGTTTGTCTGGGATATGGTGCAGATTAACCCTTTAAGTAAAATTACTGTTGCAGGTAATAAAAATTGAGGTCTTTGCTTTAATCCCATTTACTTGCCTGTAACATATTATATACCTACCATGTGTGAACACAGCAATTATTTTAGAGAGAAATTGTTTACACTGAAACTGCAACAGCAATCATGTATGTAAAAAATACCAACATGATGCTCATGGCTAGAGCTGAGCAAACTGGATTTTTAGTTCGACCAGCAAATTGAAAAAAAAAAAAAAAAATCACAGAAAACAGTCTGTTCCAAAAATGTTTGGCCTGTGTCAGCAAATTGGAAAAAAGTTTGTTTTGGTCCAGCTTCAAGAAACTACGCATGTTCCTCCCCCTCTCCCTTATAATACGTAGCCCAAAGCTCAGGGCACTCGCCTGGGATGTGGGCAACTCAGGTTTGAATCCCTACTCTGAAACAGGAACTTAAACACACATCTCTCCTTGCCAGGTGCTAGGCTATTCTCGGGTAGGTTGCTCTCAATCTCTGCTTTTAAAGGTGTTCCACTTCGTATAAAAACTCAAATATTAATTGGGCCAAATAGAGGGACAGAGTGAGAATGATTCGATAGCCTGGTGATTAAGGCACTCTCCTGGGAGGTAGTAGATGTGGATTCAAATCTTCTCTGCTTGATTCAGAGGAGGGATTCAAGTCCCTGCTCCAGAGTAGGGATTCAAACCTGTGTTTCCCACATCCCAGGCAAGTGCCCCTAGCTCCTCGGCTAAAGTTATAGAGGGCGATGGAAGGACAAACAGTTTTCTGATGCTGATCCTGAAAAAAAATCTCAGGTGAAAACAATGATAAATTTGGGGTTGTTCATGAATAAATAAAAACTGAAATTTTTGTCTGAAAAAATTTCACCTAGCCCTATTTATAACCATTTTGAAATGTCTTCCAGAGCTACCTTGCAGGTCTCCATTCTTAGGACTGATTCAAAGCCCACATCAGTGGAAAGATTCCTACTAACTTAACTCAGTGGGCTTTGGAACAGGCTCTTTTTGCCTCAGGATTACGGAAGTAACACTTTATTATGTGTTGTAGTACAGGTGAAACAGATACATAACTTGCAAGATAGGGCACAGAGTTTCAGCACAAATGTATACCACTGCAGCTGAGGATTTTTGGTTACATTCTCAACTATCACTCGTAACATTTCCTGATGATTCTTCCAACAGTTCCACACTTTTGCAGTATTTCACTTTTATGGTTCAAAGCATACTGTAACACCTACATCCACTCTTACCTCGCTTCAAGCAAGGCTGCCATATTTAGTCCTATGAACTGCAAGCAGGACAGTTTTAACTGTTCAGCACTGTATGTTGCTGAAAACTCCAGCAGCTCAGTAGCATTCTTTAAAGTGACTGGAAAGAAGAAACATCACAGACTTAACTAGAGAACATACTGCAATTTTGTTCTGTAATCACTTATTACATCAAGATATACAGTATGAATTGGGGGGGGAGGGGAGGAGAGATCAGGTTATGAAAAAGGAATAAAAATAAACCCTTTTCCTGTTTCATTAGACAGGAGCACTAATGCTTAAGTGGCCCTGACTCCACCCAAGGCAACACTATTATTATTAAATACTTATGTAGCGTGAATTTGACTGATTCTTTACAGAAATACAAAAGATAGTCACAGCTATGAAAAGCCTACAATCTAAGCACAGATCAGCTTTGAAAATGGAGCAAACAGACAAAGAGAGTGAGAAACAGAGGTTAAAACAACAGTAACATGAATAAATTTATATTGTGAACAAAGCTTAAGCTCCAATATTTTTCTATAGCTGAAAAAGATGTAGTGAGAGAAGGCAGGAATGGAAGTCACCAAGGAAAGCCAAGTAGATTCTGAGAAGAGAGATGAAGGAGAGGGAGGATGATTGGTGTGCTAGAAGAGGGAGGCATTTCCACCCAAAAAGACATTGTCAAGAGAAGTATGAAAGCACAAAAAGAGCAACAAAAAAGAGTTAGGGAAGGACATGAGATGGGAATTAGGTAGAAACATGAAAAAAATTGTGTAGTGCCTTAAAAAAGTGAGGACAAGGAGTTTGAATTTGATGAGGTAAGAGACCCAGAACTGGTAAAGATACTTGAAGTGAAGTGACATGATTGAAGTTGCAGGCCAAGAAGATTATTTTAGTTCTAGAATGTTGGGCAGTCTGAAGGGGGGTGACCACAGATGTCTAGGCAAGAGAGAACTATGACATGAACTGGAGATTCGCGCCTTCATTCCCATAGCCACAGCCAGAGTTAAGCAGCGTCACACTGCAACTCACAAAAAAGCTTAAACACTTACCTTCTAAACAACTGGATTTATTTTAACAAAATGAAAAAAGGCAGCCATTTCATTAAGAAACATAGTAAAACACTCACGTTTTTCAGTAATGGCTACTTCACACATTTCTTTCAGTCGAGATACAAGAAGTTGGTCTGCTACCACCAGAACATTACAAATAAATTCCACATTTTGAGAGTCTGGAAATGAAGAAAAGTTGCATGAGAAAGATGACTGGTTACGTGAAAAATGCTTCAGAAAAGTTTCAACAAAGGCCAGTTTGCTCCACTGTGCTTTGTAGGTGTCATGGCATAGGTAGCTTATGAAGTGGGATTTAAAATAGGACAAGATGGTAGTGGCTTTGCAAATCTTGTAGAGAAGGAGTTTTTCTTATATATAAAGGGGCAACATAGAGAAAACATAGAAGTGCTTGTGGAAAAAGCAGCTGATCATGATGTCTTCAGCAAAACGAAGGTCGGGGCGGGGGGCGGGAGACAACACTTGCAGTAAAACTACAACTGACTCCAAAGTATAAAATGATATCATATTGGTAGGGGTTTACCAAACATCATATATGATTCAAAAGGCAATACAATATATCTTTTTAGTAAAAAAGGTAATCTAATTGTGGTACTTACGGTACCACTTCCCCATAACACACAAATGTCTCTAATTTGAAAGAGTTCACACTGTAGAGCATAATATCCAAACTTTCTGCTCCCTTCAGGCGTCTTTTCCTTGTTTATTAAAATGAAAATAGCAGAATTATTTGAAAGATCAAGCTGAAATTTATTCCGTTTAAAAACTCGCTGTCAGCTGTTCATGCCCCCAACTCTACAATTTCCAGAAACAAATATATTGTCAGCACCTTTTATTGCAGGAGCTTCATCTGTATAGATGTAATCCAGGATAACCTGCAGTATGTCAGAATGGATTGGCATTTCCAGAGCTGCACAACAGGATGACTAAAGGAAAAAGGGATAAGAAGAGTACAATTTCAAAAACTGATCATTTAAAAATCAAAGGTGATTACAAGGAATTACACGGGAAACTCCAGTTCCTCCAAAACAAGTAGGTCTCTCAAGAATCTGAACTCCTGCAGTACTGGATGGGTTTGAAGGATGGGACCCTATTCAGTTGTCAATACCGATGCTATATGCTGCTTTGGCAAGTCTATTCTGATCAGAGTAGTCGATGCTTATGAGGATGACTTGGGGGGCGCTGAGACCATATGGGACATGACATCTTCCGGGTACCAAGGCCATCTTAGTGGTCAACTTAGATGTAGACAGTACAGGAATTGTGTGTATAGTTCTCTTAGTGGTTGAATGCTCCCATGATGCAGTGCCCTGCTTGTGCAGCACCAAAGGTCTCAATACAAGGCATGCTTGTTGTCCTTTTTCTCTGCTGAGCCCAGAGCCCCAGGCACAGGACTGGTACCAAGAATGTTTGCAGCCTCAGCCATACCCAGGGTGGGACACAAGGACTCCTCAGCAGTCTTCACAGGGACTGAGGTCTTTTTGAGATGGACTCTTTCTGGGGACAATGACTCCATTTTCTATGGGTTTTCTTCATGAATTTACCTCAGGTAAACAAAGGTGAATGTGCTGAAATTGACAGGGCACTGTGTTCATTCAGTGACTGATGTTTGGGTTGGGGAGCAGGAGGTAGGAGAGGGGTGTCTCCTGGCCTGGACATGAGGCTAGTTGAAAGGAACACTCCATCATTAAGAACCTCAGTTTCAGCTCCAGATTTTTTCTTGCTCAGTACTTAAAGTAGAGCAGATGGAACACTTTTGCAGGATATGAGACTCTCCCAAGTAGTGGATAAAATGGGAATGCCGGTCACTGACCGGGAAGGACACCCAGCAAGAGACGCACTGCTTGAAGCGAGCCTGGCATACCCTGGGGCAATGGCATCTAGCAGGGGAAGGCACCCCTTGCCCAAAGAGGAAAGAGATAGAGAGAAAATCCCCCTGAATCCCAAAATACAAAAGTTAAAATAAAATAACTAAAGAAAAATAATAAAATAAAGAAGGGAAACTAGGCTAAGAGACTTTGAAAGTAAGGCACATTAATCCTACGTCTCAGGCCAAGACAGGTGAGAAGGAACTGAGGGCGGTTCGCTTGCATAGTCATAAGTAATCTCAGAGCAGGGCATGAGGAAATGCAGCCCAAACAGGCACTACTATCAAAAATCTCTGATTAAAGACACATTGTGCGTGAGCGCACCTGAAGTGGAGCACTCATAGGGACATTACTTGAAGACTAATATTATCTACATGTCATTTATTAAGACCTACTGCAGGAAGGAAGTTTAATACACCTCCAAGGATATTAGCAATTCAAACTCACTGGGGGTTTATAATACTACAGATTATTTGCAGTAGAAATTTCTAAGATAGCAATATACTTACTAACTCAGTCTTCTTTTACATAAAATTACCATGTCTCATAACATTTATGCTTAATTTTTTTTATTTAATACAGTTTCTGAACGGTTCAAAATTAGTTTCTCTGCTAAAATTTCCCATTTTCCTACAAGTTTTACACAAACTGTATTTTAATTTACATTCCAGTTAATGGCAAAATCTCATTTGAGAAACAGGAAAATCTTCATTCACTTACATTAATGTGAAACAACTAACACGGCACACATATTTTTAACTGGCAAGCTTACCTCAATCCAAGAACTGCTTAACATCCTATGAAAGTAGTCTGTAAAGAAAAAAAAAAAAACAAGCTCATTTTGAGACATAATATGAGAAGCAAGTTATTGTGAACAAAAGAATCTACAGATATTACATACATACCAAGTCTTGCACAGAGTACACATTTGTGACAAGGGAATTCCTTTCCATCTATAGATTTCATGGTCACATCACAGAGGTCCGAACTACAAGACATTTAGAACAGTTGTAATCCTGAAATTATTAGCAAATATAAACTCTATAAACAGTTCATTTCTCTTTTGTGCTTGAAACCAGCTTTGACAGGATTAGGCTTCTTGTCCTCTCAAAGAGGGGAAGGAACGTACAAATATTTAACTAGAAACACAATACATTTACCTTTATGATGGTAAACATACCAAACAAGACTTCTCAGCAGTCTTAAAAGGATTAAAAAAAAAAAAAAAAAAAAAGAAAACCCACCATAAGCCAAGCTAGTCATAAAGCAAGCTAACTAGTGAAGAGGATTTCCTCCAAAACCAATTCTATCTTCCAGTTATTGCTTCTCAAGACTGCTCTGAAGGCAGGAGCAGCCAAACTTCCTGCAGACGCAGGAGGTGGGTCTGATCTCCCCTGTGGTGCCAGGAGTGGCCCAGCAAGGGGCTCCTAGCTGCCAGTCCTGACCAGGTTGGGGAGGGAGAGGACTTCCTCTTCCCCTACATGGGCCCTCTCAAGGGGAGGCCAGACCCAACTCCAGGGACCTCTCCCTGCTGCAGGAAGGTTTGAGCTGGGCAGGAGCTCTGGAACTTCCTACAGACACCTAGCTGCTAGTCCCGGTCAGGCTAGGGAGGGACAGGACTGCCTCTTCTTCTGCTCTTGAGTACATCTCCTGGCTGCAGAAAGCTCTGCACACCCTCCCCCCGCGCGCGCGCACACACACACACACTCACTTCCTGCCCCCATTGCTCTGCAGCTGCAGGTGGAGGAGTCACTGTACAGGGTGAGCCCTGCTGCCCCCCTTCCAGATGCAATTATTAGCTTGTTTCAATAAAATAAAGGTCATGTGAATTTGACAGAATTTATTGATGGACATTTTACAGCAGCAAAACAACACTCAGAGCTCAACTCTCTGCTTGGTAGACATGGGCATCTGATATGGTTTTGTAGGGTAGTGATCTCCATTGGTAGCCTCATACTGGAGAGCCACTGCCTTAAGTTAACAAAAGCAAGCGAAAAAAAAAGTTCTGGTTCCTAATGTTATTAACTGAACGTCAACATGGAGCATCCAGCAACTGTGTCTTCCCTCATTCCCTGTCTGAAAACACCTGTTCGTGTTCAGACATAGCTCTCTCTGCATCCGTGGAGTTCGTTGGAATTGTCAGCCAGTTCCGAGCTAGCCTTGCAAGATGGGGGATTCTGCTTTCCACTGAGTTTCAAAACTGTAGCACAGGCAAACTACAGTCCGCGTCTTTTGTGATATTTTTGTAAGAAGGAATCTCCAGCCCACAATTCTTGTCAAAGCCAGTAACTGCATTAGGCCAGGTAAATCCACCATCAACAGGTGCATTTGTGCAGGGTCAAAAATACACACAACTTTTAGGAACCCTGCTGAATGTTGTTGAAACTTTTGAGCAGTTTTTGCTGCATTGCTTGACTCTTTCCCATAGCAATAGTATTGTTTGAGCTTCTTTGCCATGCAAGAAAACACCTGCTGAGCACTGGCATTTAACTCAGCATTGTCAGAGTGATTTTCATTTGATTGTGCTTCAGCCCAGAACAGGACATCCATTACTTTGTTGTATGCTTGGAGGATTGTGACATGTCAAGATTCCAACCAAGTGATTAAGTCTATCAGTCCTGTGGCATTCTTGGCAATGAACTGAACTTCCTCATTCAGCTGAGCATTGTTTAGAACCTGCATTTTTGGTGTCAGTGTGAGCTCTTCTGAGATGAACTCCAAATAGTACATCAGGTGAGCTGCATGATATTGTACAGCCTCAAATCAGAAATTGCAACAAGTAATTATTGGCTCTGGGGGAAGTTCCATTTTTTCCCCCTGATTTCAGTCATTGGTGCAACGTGCTGCCTTGTATCACAGTTTGTGGCTAGGGCAGCATTTAAAGATATTTTAATGTAGCTGACCAGTTATCAACTTTCCCTAACTCACATCTCCACAGCTCCCTGACAAGACAAATTATATGTGCATTACATGTAATATGGATAACATTTGGCATTAGACTTTGGTGAACAGATTTGAAAGATTTCATCATGTAAGTTGCATTTTTGCTTATGAAAGCAGATACTTTGACAAAGTTCACACCATATTTTGAAATGATTTTAATTATCGCTTGAAAAACTCTACCATAGTTAACAGCATCGAAGTAAACGCAGCTGGCAAGCACTGTTAGCTTTTCTGTCTGTACATCTTTGGCCTTGTCAGAAATAAAATCAAACAGAACATGCAGTACGTAGTTGTTTTGCTCAACTGTGGACTCATCCGAAATAACTGCAAAAGACTCACATGCGTTAATTTGATACTTCACTTCCTCAAAATGTGTAGCAAAAACCTTAGGAAGGTAGTCCTGTTGTAACTTATTCGCAGTTGGTAAGCAACTGGCATTTTGGGCGATCACGTTTTTCCAGTGGGATATTAGCATTTGCAAACACATCCACAAGTTTCATTCTAGCTAAATGACAGATCTCAGAGCTCTCTGTCATTTTCTTTTTTTTTTAAAAAGATGAAATTGTTTTTTTAACTTTTCGTTTACCAGCAATGCACTATGCGCAGCCCTCTTTCTGCCTTGATGAGTTTCCAAGTCTAAGTGGCGCTGAACTGTTGCCTGATGTGTATGATCCAACAAAACATTGCAGTCTGTACAAAGTAGTTTGTCACCATCAGCATGTAGAATTTGGAAGCCAAAATTCTTTCACTTGATCCACTGTATTAATGATTTTAGAGGTTTTTGATTTACTTTGGACACTCATTTTACACTTGTAATTTCACTTGTCTTCCGGTAGGATGCCAATTGAGATTACTATGCTACAAAACTGCCCCAATGTTCGTATCTATCGATCAGTGAGTTGAGCCGAGTGTGATTCACTGCTGTAAAGTGTCAATCAAAAAATTCTCTCAGTTCTTCATCTTTCTTTTTATTTTTATTGAAACAAGCTAACAATTGCATCTGGAAGGATGGGGAGGGCAGTTCTCTGTACAATTACCCCTCTCCCCACAGCTGCAAAACGATAGGGAAAGGAAGCAAGTGGAGGGTGAGGGGGGCAGAGCTACTTGCACCTGGGAGAGGTACCCAACAGCAGGCCTGCAGGGCAAGAGAAAGTCCTGTCCCTCCCAGCCGGTTGGGACTAGCAACCCCTTGCTGGGGCCCCCACAGCACAGGGGAGATTGGACCCACCTCCACTGCCGGAAGCCTCCTCTGGCTGCAGGAAACTCTGGAGCTTCTGCCCAGTCCCAGAGCTTCCTGCAGCAGGGGAAGGTACACAGAGGTGAGTCTGATGTCCTCCCCAAAAGCAGCTGTGCAGGGGAAGGACAAGTCCTGGCCCCCCCAGCCCAGCCAGGATTCTCAGCTAGGAGCCCCTGGTTGGGGCATTGCCAGCAGCATGGGGGAAATCAAACCCATCTCACCAAGCCTCCTCTGTCTGCAGGAACCTCCAAGGCTGCTGCCCAGCCCCAGAGCTTCCTGCAGCGGGGAAGGCACTCAGAGGTGGGTCTTATCCTTCCCCCACCCCCAAAGAGCAGCCGCGCAGGGGAAGGACAAGTCTTGTCCCTCCCTAACCTGGCTGGGACTTGCATTTAGGAGCCCCTGGGCTGGGGCACCTCAACAGCATGGGGGAGATCAGATTTCATGGGGAAGGGCTTATTTCATGGTCTATGAGATGTTTTTCACTGCTGTTAAATTTGCCCTAAATATAGCCTATTCCAACGTAAGTTAAAGAATTAAGCTTTAGTACCACTGTAAGCACTGAAACAGGACCAAGTAATTCAGATATAAATAGCAGTAGGGTAAAAATTCAGGTAATTTCCCCTCATGGGAAAATATTTCAGAGATTCTTCTCATTAAGCAACCCTGTAAATTTCTAATTGAAGAAGTCAAAATCTATATGGCTTTAGTAGGAACAACAACATGTAGCCATGCAACAGACAGAGCATGTCAGACTGGAAAAGTCAAGTTTTCTTCTGATGTTACTATTCTATAATATAAATGAAGCCATGGAAAATGTGAATGCACAACAGACAAACACAATCATTGAGATCTGGTTCTGAGTACTAATCCAGTATCTCAAATTACAAAAGCGTGGTAAATACAAAGAATCTCTCTCCAATGACCATTAACTGTGAAATACACACACACACCCCTGACAAGTAATAACACTTTACAAAAAATTTCAGGTTACAAAATTTTGGCTGCATCTGCTTAGTGTCTACTTAATTCAAAATGAAGTGAAAGGTACTAAAAAATAAGGTCAGATACACGCAGAGACTTGACGTCGCTAGATTTTAAAACTTACCATTTTTGGGGGTTTAACTTTGGTTTGGTTCCATTTTTCCTGTTGACAACATTAATTTTTCCATTTTCTAGTTTAACTCCATCCAATCTGCAGGCACAAATATTACAAACATCAATTATTATACATTACTGATAGTTATAATGATAAAGAAAAATAGGTTTGAAATTTAGTACCACTTAACATTGTGACCACAAATGAAAGGACAACAAATGCACTTCACAGAAACCTAGGAAGTCTATTAAGAAACGGACTGATCCTTCAGCATAGATATGAAACGGATATCTAAACAGATAAAAACAGATTGCTAGGCTTCTCTCTACCACTTTATTACTCCTATTTATGTATCCTGGTCCAACTGACAGGTGGGCTATACAGGTAGGCTTAGCCATCCGCATGGTGTTTGCTGCTTCTGGGCCATACTTTGAGGCGGTATGGATTATCTTGAGTGTCGAGAGATGTATAGTGTTAGAGATATGCTATGAGGGTTAATTTGTAAATTGGGTGAACACATATGGTGGCTTTATTAGAAGGCTGAGGGACATTTTTGCTTTTAAAATTACTGGGCTCTGTCCTGGCTGTTCTTTTATGTGCACCCAGCTGTGGTAACTGCTTCCTTTTTATGACCACCACACAATGGCTGAGAAAGCTGAACAACAAAGCAGTATGTTAAAATGCAGAGTGGGGGAAATTGGTTTACAAGGGTTTACTGTCCTCAGTCCTTTTGATGATGGTACAGAGAGACACAAGACAGAAAAACAGTATCATGCAGAAATTTGTACAACAGCAGAGATGTTTAATCTCAACTCCACTGGTTTCATCTTGTAATATTATCAGAAACACAAGGCATCAGTTAACAGGGTTCCAGTTCTTTGTTTCATGCAAAGTCTGCAGCATCATCCATACAAAGATCAACATCAACCACAGATAAGAGCCATGACTTTATATGTATCACACAAAGGACGAAACATACGGTCAGTCTGAGGCAAGGAGTAATCTGGAAAGCTACATTATTTGCATCTAAACTCAAACACAGGAGGTCCCCACATCTCAAAACAGAGTAGAATCTTGTACAAGATTCCCAGGATAGGATTAAGATGAGACTAGTGCTGAAACACAGCACTTCCTGCACCATAGAAGGCCTAGTGGCTCAGTTGGTAACACATTGCTTTAGCTGAAGAGCAATCTCATAATTCTCTTTTTTCATAGAACCCTCAGTTGCTGGGGGTCAAACTGGGAGTCATGTCTGCCCAAACTACATTGGTAGTTAAAACCTTTCCATTTTTAGACAAGCTTATATATGGTCAGAAAGGGACAAAAAGCAAGCACCAACTAAAGTGGATGCTGCCAAAGAAAAAAAATTGTAACACACCTTATGCTTAAATTACTGAGACCAAATTTCTTTGCAGCACCTTGCAACATTTTTATGGGGTTGACTTCTTCACCAACAACTTTGCCTTTTTTAGAAGACTTGGGTTTGTTCTTCTCTCTTTGATTTACTACATGCACTTGATTACTTCTGTAAACTTCAAATGCAGGCTTTCCATTAACATCTCCACTGAAACTCATTTTATTAAGGTTAGAAATTAAGGTATCTTGATATTCTTCTGTTTTTTCCTTATACAACATTCTTGGTTTGTAACCGTGAGTCAAAAGATCACAAGTGTCCATGTATATGAACTGCAGAAGGTATGTAAACAAATCTTGATGAACCTTCTCTATCATAAAGAGATCACATCCTACAGCATCTTCATCTTTACGATAGACATCTGGAGAATCTAGTCGATTGTCATCTGAAATGAACAGCTTCCTGAAGAAGTCAGAACGCATGGCCAAGATGTACTTGTGCGCAGGGATCATCCTAGTGCCGATCTGAAAAGTCACATCATGGATGTTGTCCATTTCATCTGTTTCCCCTAACAATTTGCCAAAATCCTCAACAAAACTGGATGATGACACACTTGGAATTTCATATAGGCTATAAAGACAAACAGTTATTTTTTATTTGGTTGAATTTTAAATTCTATCATGAGGGTTTTATTTTAAAATGAAGAACCTCAATTTTTTACTATTCTACATTACTATTCAAAGTTTCATACTGTATTCTTTAATATAAAGAAAATTCCTAAACTGATTAAAAGTGCAATATAAAAGCTAGATATTACACAATACTCCATATATAAATATATATTAAAATAATCCTGCGACATTTTTCTAAAGCACCAAATAAAGATAACATTTTTCTCTTCATACAAAAATGTATGGCTTAATATTTATAAAGTTATCAGCAGTATTAGTACTTTGCATGCTACCCATGTCATTTTATTGCAAGGAAGTGCTTGAAGTAATTCAGAAATGTAAGAATCTTTGACACGCTGCATACTGAAGTCCAAAACAAAAATTCACGTTAAACAATATGCTAGATAGTCTAAAATCTAAAAAGAGAGTGCAAGGAGCAGTACATCTTTCAATGTTTCATTTACTCCAACTTTATTTCAAAGATTTAAGTTTTTGTTTAATTTAAAAAACAGATCTACTTCTGTCTTTCAGTTTCTTATATTACAGGGCATCTCTGAGAAACAAGGAACCTGCATGTTAAGAAGGATTTCTATGACACTTTATGGAATGGAGAGTTAAAGTACATTAGAAGGTAGGTTTTAAAGGGGACTTGATTATAAGTGTTTGGCTTGAACATTTTGCCTTTGGATAAACTAAGGGCTGGTCTACACCCAAAACTTAGCTAGGTCTATCTATATCGCTTAGGGGTGTGGAAAAAAAAAATCACACCTCTAATACACAGTTAAACTGACCTAAGCACCGTGTACACTGTGGCTAGCCCAATGAAAGAATTATTTTGTCAACCTCGTTACTGCCATCTCAAGACTAGTGGATTCACTACAGCAACGAAAGAACCTTTCTGTCGCTGTAGTATGTGTCTACACTGCAAAGTTTCTAGTGTAGACATTCCCTAATTAATGGCTTTTTCCTTAAACAACCTCTACATAGTTGTCTACAAGTAAGTGCTAAGCCAAAATGACCATATTTACTATGATCTCTGCAGTAGCCAAAGATGGTCCTCTGTAAAGCAGAAATTTTAATTGAAACTGAAGACAAAACAAGACTTAATGGAACAGAAAAATGCTTTACATCCACAACCCCCTCAGTACTTTCAGTAATTGAAGTTACAGCCATAGATATCTGAAATATACCTTGTTTTAGGATCTGACTGTAAAACAGCAAAGTTACATCCATTAGGATCTGTGGTAACACTAACAGCTCTGTGGACAAAAGCAAGCTTCTCAAGTCGAATTCTTTCAAATACACTGTTTGTATCATAGTGACAAGACACATCATATGAGGAATTCTGAAGACTTGATACAACCTCTGTTAAAAAAGAGATGTTGGAAAAACATGGAAGGGTCAAACTAATTAAGATTTAACTGATAAAACAAAGGACAAAATTAATTACTGGTGTGAGTCCACTGAGTTGAGGTCAACAGAGTTACAACAGAGATCAGACTGAAGACTTTGGCCCAAATAGCGTTGACTGCAATCAGGAATGGCATGCCTAAAGAGATAAGCCTACCTAGATTCTGATCCCTGGACTTGGGAGATCTCCCACCCAATGAGTACTCATCCAACCCAACCCTCCTCATTTTGTGAGATATCACACCCAAGATGGCATTGCTATGGATTAAATGAAGCATACTCTGCTTTTTCTATTGTACTTCAGTTACAACACTAGTAAGATATAGTACACAAAATGTCCCTTTAGTATTTTCATGGTATATCTTCAGTTTGGAAAACTTAAAAGAAATTATTTTATTAATTATAAATTTGTGGCAAGTGAATTCTGAATAATGAACATTGGGGAATATTACTAAAATATTTCATTCCATTTCTGCTTAAAAAGATATTAAAATTATGTGCTTCTTAAACTGTAGTCTTAGGCAGAATGCAAGAACGCTATTAATACGCAACAAACAAAATGAAAATCTTTCTGCCTATCCAAAATCCTTCTACCTTTATAGGGTCACCAGTCCAGCACAAGGCCAGGGAGAGTGAACCCAAACTACAAAGGCCTTTGGTTCAACGTCTTTCAAGAATAAAGATATTTTAGTGCATTATGGAACTGTAAGACCAGACCAGCAGTAAGACAGACCAGTGCACGATACGTTGCTATGTGAAAGGTCCAAATTAAACAGATTCCCTTGTTCTGACACTTTACAGAGCTAGAAGAACAGAGATGAGGAGGAAGAATTACCATGACTGGTAATTGTACCAGTATTATATTACCAGTACCAATATTAACTGGGAATTGGTCCTGCTTCGAGCAGGGGGTTGGACTAGATGACCTTCTGGGGTCCCTTCCAACCCTTATATTCTATGATTCTATGACATGTGACCTTCTTGGAAAGTAGAAAAGCAAAAAAGGAAACCTGATGGGTTAACTCAGTGTTTTGAGGAGGGAAGGAAACACCTTGCAATGAAGGAATGCAAGATTGGAGGCTTAAAACTGAAATAGTAAATTGGAAATTAAGGTCATGGAAATGTGATATGGCATTCATCTGTAGGCCATAAAAATCCAAACCCATCCAGCTTGGTGGTAACAAAGCAGTTACCATCTGTGGACTTTCAGTTGGTCCATGTGAACAGAGCTGATTTTTTCAATCAATTCCTATGGAACAGGTGTTTGCAATTACAAAAAACAACTTCCTACTGCTGGGACCCTTAGTCAGCAGATTCAGCTAAGAATACAAGGATTGAATTCTTCTGGAAACTGAACTACATGCTGATCTATATAAGCAGTGTCCATGAAACAAGATAAAGTTACCCTAGCAGGGCAATGTGAAGAAGCACATACTCTTTTCACTTGTATCAATTCTTTACAGACAGGAGGACCCAATGCTGTACATCCAGTACATTTCAGGATCACTAACATTCACATAAGCGTTGGACACTTATGACTCTTTTCACCATGAGTTATTCAGGATACAGATTGTGCACCAGAAGCTCACTGTAAACTGAGAGGGACAAGTTAAACTGAACATGGCGGGGCAAACAAAAAACAATAGCAAAAACACTAAACTAGCTGAACAGTGCCAACTCTCTCCTATTTCTTTTATCTATCTGTCAGTCATGGAGGAAGTAGAGATAGCCCATCACATACTACCAATAAATCAGGCAGATTGTATAAGGGAAAATTCCTTCTCCCAATACAAAACTTGAAAAAAATTACAAATGTTGGGTGCGAGAGGAGAGAGAGGGAATGTAAAGATATTTATTGAATTAGAAATCGGTTATAAAACGTAGTCATGTACTTTCAAAAACACCTTAAAAGCATGAACTAACCTTTCTTTTCGGAAGTTTTTTTCCCTCCTTCTACCCACTTTCCTGTAAAGGCGTCACCATCCTGCGTGACAAACATTATTTCATTCCTATTTAAAGCAACGTCAGACATGAAGACTTGGCGGCCATAGACCCATCGACACTGCTTCATAGGACTGTTGGATGACTTCCAGCAAAACACCTAAAATATTAATGGTGAGGTGGAGGGGTTAAAGAGAATTTAGAAACCTACAGAAAAAAGCAAGTCACAGTGATGTGCACTACAGCTTTATTAAACCGGAAGCACATGTTACCTCAAAATTATTGAGGAACAGAGGGAAGATTATGAATTGTTAACAATGCAAGTTTATTTGCAATGAATGATTTATTTCACTGTGAGCAGTAAAGGAAGATGCTCAGATATCAAAAGTTACCTGCCTATTAAAAAAAAAGCCTTAAACACTTTCTACTAGATAACTTTCCTTGTTTTGATGTTCATACCTACAATTTTTAGTTGCAAGTACCATTCTAAAAACGTAGGCGTCTACTGTTGCTATCTGCATTTTTAGAATAAAGCAGCAGAAAACTGAAGTAATTACTATGAAGTAGCTAGATTATGAAGCAATTAGGATTCCAGTTGTACTTTCCCTCTTTCTTCTTGCACTTCAATAGAACCCAAATGAAATATCTTGTTCAAGCAGAACCAGAAGCATACCAGTCTTTAATGAGGGCAATGCCTACCAAATGACAAGTAGATTCCACCTCTTAGTTATTTAAGTACATTTGTCTTCTAGTTCCTTTGCTTCTAACACCAGGCAACATTCAAAATATATCTATTTTTTTTACAAGAACAAAGATAGTCTAACACATTTCAAGAACACAATATGCCTGTCTTTAACTATCAGACTAACACCACCAAAAAAACCTCAATGCTTTTTTAAACTTTAAGAAGATAAAAACATAAGAATGGTATGACTCAGAACAGTCAATGGCCTTCTAGGCCAATATTCTGTCTTCCAACAGTAGCCAGTGCCAGATGCTCCAGAGGGAATGAACAGAACAGGGCAATTATTGAGCGATCCATCCCGTCATCTAATTCCTGCTTCTGGCAGTCAGAGGTTTACAGACACCCAGAGCATGGGATAACGTCCCTGACTATCTTGGCTAATAGCACTGATGGACTACCCTCTATGAACTTATCTAATTCTTTTTTGAACTCCATTAGAGTTTTCACCTTCACAATAGCCCCTAGCAACGAGTTCCACAGATTGACTGTGCGTTAAGTGAAGAAGTACTTCCTTACATTTTTGTTAAACTTTCTACCTATTAAATTTCACTAGGTGACCTCTGGTTCCTGTGTTATGTGAAGGGATAAACAACACTTCCTTGTCACCTCCTCCACACCATTCATGATTTTTATAGATCTCTATCGTATCTACCCTTGGTCGTCTCTTTTCAAAACTGACCTGTCCCAGTCTTTTTAATCTCTCCTCATCTGGAAGCTGTTCCACACGCCTAATCATTTTTGTTGTCCTTTTTCCCCCCCACTCTAATATATCTTTTTTGAGATAGGGCAAGTAGAACAGCAAGCTGCATTAAAGGTGTGGGTGTCCCATGGATTTATACAGTGGCATTTTGCTATTTTCTGTCTTATCTATCCCCTTCCTAATTGTTCCTAACATTCTGCTAGCTTTCCTGACTGCCAGTGCACATCAAGCGAATGTTTTCAGAGAACTATCCACAGTGACTCCAAGATCTCTTTCTTCAGTGGGAACAGCTACCCAACGTTTTTTATGTAAAGTTGGGATTATGTTTTCCAATGTACATTAATTTGCATTTATCAACAATGAAATTCATCTGCTATTTTGTTGCCCAGTCACCCACGTTTGTGAGATCCCTTTGTAACTGTTCACAGTCAGCCAATTTGGTCTATTTTGAGCAATTTTGTATCATCTGCAAATTTTGCCACTTCACTGTTCACCCCCTTTTCGAGATCATTTATGAATATGTTGAACAGCACAGGTATCAGTACAGACCCTTGGGGAACCCCACTATTTCTCTCTCTCCTTTGTGAAAAATGACCCTTTTAACCAGTTACTGATCCACAAGAGGCCCTTCCCTCTTATTCTATGACTGCTTACTTTGCTTAAGAGCCTTTGGCATGGAACCTTGCCAAAAGCTTTCTGAAAGTCCAAGTACACTATATCAACTGGATCACTCTTGTCCACATGCTTGTAGACTGCCTCAAAGAATTCTAATAGACTGCTGATGCATGATTCTGTTTACAAAAAGCCATGTTGACTCTCCCTAACCATATTGAGTTCATCTATGTGTCTGATAATTCTGTTCTTTACTATAGTTGTAACCAATCTGCCTGGTACTGAAGTGAGTAATTGCCAGGAGCCTTTTATAAAAGTCAGCATTCACATCCATTCATCTGGTACAGAGGCCGATTTAAGTGACAGGTTTCATACTGCAGTTAATAGTTCTGCTATTTCATATTTGAGTTCCTTCAGAACTCTTGGGTGAATTCCATCTGGTCCCTATTACTTATTACTGTTATATTTATCAATTTGTTCCAAAACCTCCTCTACTGACACCTCAATCTGAGACAGTTCCTCAGATCTGTCAATTCAAAAAAAAAAAAAATGGCTCAGGTGTGGGAATTTCCCTCACATTCAGTGCAGTGAAGGTTAATGCAAAGAATTCATTTCACTTCTCCACAACCTTCTTTTCCTTGAGTGCCTCTTCAGCACTTTGAACATTCAGTGGCCCCACAAACGTTTTGTTTTACACAGGCCAAGATTACAAAGCAGAATCAGAGAATTGGTTATGATCAAAGATCACCCATGGAACATATTTAAGGCAGGACAGATTTACAGAACTGCAGGTGGGGGAAAGGGGTGGGTGTGACAGTCTGTACCCCTATGTTCACCTCTTTTACAAGACTATGATAAATTCTGTACAAAGTATGGCTTGTGAGGTATAATTCAAAAACTCATTTTGCTGATCATTATTGTCCTGGTAAAATGTGTGTGGCCCCATTGTACGTAAAGTTATAAGATTCCTCTGAACGTTAGTATTAAGACATATTACAAGTCCGGGGAGCAGTCACAAATCCCAGAGACAAAAGACTCAACAAAACCTCAGCCAGGTGTCAACAAAATCAAATGAACCATCTCATGGTTAAGTGGCCATTGTTTGGCAGAAAAGAGGGTGTGTGGGTGGAAAAAAAAATTACATCTTGACAAAAAAAGCAGCTTGGGGTTCCCGTCTACAAAGACTTTCTATCACCTGAACCTCAGGTGGAAATGTTTCTCAAAAGAAGAGAAAGAACTATAAGAAGGGAGATTAGATGCCCTAAATTCTCTCTCCTTTTCTTGCTACCTACGGCATCGACAACACCTAAAGAAAAATTAAGCGACATTAGATTGGGGGAGGGATCCTGACTGCAAGAAATTCATATCAGTAAGCCTGCTGAAACATGTGTTGAAAGAGATCTATGTTCTGAATTCACTTAACTTGTTAAGTTAGGCATTAGTTGCATTTTACTTTTATTTTCTTGTAACCAATAATGACTTTTATGCCTCATTACTAGTAATCACTTAAAAATCTATCTTTCTGAAGTTAATAAATTTGTTTTATTGTTTTATCTGAACCAGTATGATTGGATTGAAGTGTTTGGGAAACTCCATTTGAGAGAACAAGATTTGTGCATATCATTTTTTATTCATAAAATGACAGACTTCATATGAACTTGTATTGTCCAGCAGAGCTGGGCAGTACAAGATGAACATTTCTGGGGAAAGTCTGGGACTGGGAATTTGCTGGTGTTCCTCTACAGTGTAATTCAAGAGTGACTGGTAACAGTACTAATATACTATAACTGGGAGTAATTTACATGCTGGAGGCTGTGTGCAAGCAGACCAGAAGTGGTCGCTCTCACAGCAAAGCAGTGTAAAATGAACCCCAGCCTCGGAGAACTGAGGGGATACAGCTAAAATTGGCATAACAATCTGGTGTAAATTGACATAAACACCACTGAAGTAAACAGAGCTATGCTGATTCATATTGGCCCAGCAACTCTATGAATTAGAAGATATTGCAGCCACACTGGTGATCCCACAGGCACAGTAACTTTACGAGTCACATGGCTTACAGCATACATGTGCGCACACAAACCTCTTGACAAAATATTACCATCTAATTTGAAAGACTAGATGCACCTATCAAAAATCTGCTTTATCCTATAAAAAGAGCTCAGTCATGTTGCAAAAGTGAAGACAGAAAAATGCAGAGAGGAACACCAGTTCAGTTCTGTCCTCTTTATTCTTTATGTGCTGGCACAATTTTAGATTTCTCTTCCACTGCAGCATTTTCGCTAAACAAAAATTTTACAAACACCACTAGATGGTGCTGCAAGTTTAGAATTTGCAGTGAACTAATTCCAGGATGCTTTGAGTTTTCAGGGTTTCTAAGAAGAGTTGCTGTAATATGGAAAGCTTTAGTAAATTCTTCTGCATTGTCATACTAACCAGAAGGTACAATTGTCCGCAATTAAACATATATACTAAGCCATTCATTGGGTATAGCACATACACTTTTAAATGTGGTCAGACATACTGTACATTGTATCTCTAAGGTAATGGTTTGAGAGTGGGCTGTAGTCACACTCAGAAACAGAAGAGACACAAACAGAGGTTCTAGCCTGTTGTACACTGTTGCAGTGGTTCATGTGAGAGTATCAACCGTAACACTGGCAGCTGTGTACAAGAGGGATGGACATTTTCAGATAAGGATATTGGCCTCTCTTAACATGGCAATTTAGACCAACATCTGACCAATATTAAGTGTAACATCATGCACTTGTGGCAAACAATGAACACAGAACAAAAAAAAACTAAGGACCTAAAAACCAGTGGCCCACACTTAAGTAACCATTAATTCTCTCAGTACCATACCCAGGTCATCAGGTTCTTTTTCCAATGTCTCGCTCACATTGCTGTCAGCAGAATGAAAGTGATGTGGAACAAGCAGACAGTTCTGTGATGAAATTGAAGGGATGGCAGGAGTGGAGAAGACAGCTTGCAAAGAAACTACAAACCAGGGCAGAGGAGTTCTTAGATAACTGTTCTTTGGGTTAACTTTGATGAATTTTTCAGCCAGATGACACCCACTCAGAATTCAGATGCCATCCTTCTCCCATACCAAAAAGAGAATTCTACTCAGAGAAGTTAAAATACACTTGGGAGCCCCCGTGGTTCTGTTCTCAATTTACCTAGCCCTTTCAATATACTTCTTGTTTCAAAAGAATTAATACATTAGGCAGACAACTTACTCGTCCAGCTTCATCCAGGGCAAGAATGCAAGTCTTTTGACCCCCATTTTCTTTGAGATGTTGAGGATCCATCTTGTATTCCAAATATCCCCCATTAACAAGAACCTTTTTTAGGTTCAGCTGTCTGAATGAACACAAAAGCAAAGATAACATTAATATTTCTTTTACATACAATTGAGATTTTACATTTAGAGAATCACTTTAAAAAGCAGCTAATGTAACATACATAGTTTATTGTTATTGTGATTAATTTTCCCCCGTGGTATATTTACCAGTCCTTAGAAACAAAATATTCTCATGGCTTGAGACATACAGAAGTTGTCTCATGTCCATCCATTCTTCAAAATAGGTTATCTTCATCTCCACAGAGAGAATACCCTCCTATGGTAAAGAACTGATGGACAAGTCAAAAAAGATGAAAATGAACCTCAAGCTCAAGACCCCAGGATAGAATTACAGCTACCTTGTACAGCTATGGCATATTACACTTTAAATAAAAATAATAATAATAATAAAAAAGTTACTTCTGTTGAAAAAAAAAACAACCCACCACATAGCACAATATGAGAACAACAAAATTAGTTACCAATTCATCTTTCCTTTTTGGTGTGTTTCCTCAGCACAAACTGATCCATATGACCAACCTCACCCAGACAGAAGGAAGTAAAAAAGACTCCCCCTACCCTTCCCCAGTAGGCAAACTGGCACACAAAGGTTCTACATGATGACTAAACTGGGCTAGCAGCAGCAGTTTGGATGTGTGTGAGGGAGCTCAGGGCTAGGGCAGGGGGTTGTAGTGCAGGGGTGAGGGGGCGACACTTCCTCAGGGAGAGGGGAGGCCTCCCCGGCTCCGACTGGCATGTCTCTGCAGCTCCTAGGTGGAAGGGCCAGGGGGCTCTGTGCGCTACCTGCACCCACACATGCCATCCCCCACAGCTCCCATTGGCTGTGGTTCCTGGCCAATGGGAGCTGCGGAGCTGGTGCATGTGGTGGGAGCAGCAGAGGAGCCCCCCGACTGCTGCTCTCCCCCTAGGAGATGCAGGGACATGCCGTTGGAGCCAGGTAGGGAGACTGCCAGACCTGCCAACCCTCCCACAGCACCAGCGGGAGTCCCGGGCCGCACACTGCTGCCCCACCCCAGCATGGGTCCCAGGCCATGCAGCACTGCCCACACACACACACACACACACACACCCCGCAGCAGGGGTCCTGAGCTGTATGCCACTGCTACCCCCACCCCCACCAGCACACCAGAGCAACCCTGGCCCAAGTTTTAGTTAGTAAAAGTCCTGAACAGGTCACGGGCCATGAATTTTTGTTTACTACTTGTGACTTGTCCACGACTTTTACTAAAAATACCCGTGACTAAAACGTAGCCTTACTTATAGTTTTCACACAGACTCCTGAAAACACTAGAATGCAACACATAAAACTTTATACATTGAAAGATCCATTTTCCTCGAGCTTCAAAAGTTCATACCCATGGCCCATTAATAAAATTTATTTAAAAATCCATACTTCATCCTTACAGAATTCATCAAGTTTCTGGGTGGATAAAATTGATTTAAAAAAAAAATTAGATTCTTTTAAATTGAAATACTTTTCTTTTAAAAAATAAGTGTTTTAATTTTCATAATTTAAAATTTTATTTTATTAAAGTAATTTAAGTAAATAAAAAAATATTGTGCATGAATAAATCCTCCTCAAGATGTTGCTTTACTTATATACAAAAAAATCAGGGGAAAACATCTTTAACTTTTGAGGTTAACTTTATGTATGTGTCACAATATCCTGTACTGCATTAAGTATCTATATATTATTTTCAGTTTTTACAACATAATGAATGCTAGTATGTATTTCTTCAAATGTCTTTCATTTTGTTGGGCAGAAAAGCTTATTCCTCAGTTACTTTTGGTTTCAGTTCAGCTAGCAGGTGCAGGGATCACATTTTCTTCATTTTCAATAGTTTAAAGTTGAGAAACCAATTGAGAGTTTAAAAAGCAGGAAAGTTTGTTTTGTTCTTCCACTATATTAATAAAAGCCACATGGTGGAGGATCAGATTCACTAATTCTAAGAACTTGAACAATTCCATCCAGATTTTCCAAGGTTTTGAGGCACCTTAAAATACAGGATTTTCAAATGCGCCTAAGCCAGTTAGGCTCCTAACTTTCTTTGTTTCTAGTCACCATGGGTCAGGTTTTGAAGGTTCTTAGGTGCTGATGAAAATCCCAATGGTATCTAAGCAGGTAACTCCCATTGATTTAGGTGCATTTTAAGGCAAAGAAACTTCACAAATCTGGCCCATGGTGACCAGAAAAAAATCCATCAACTACAGTAACTACAGTTAATACCTCCTTTGTTAATTTTACACTTTATGACATTTCTTTACTAGATCTTTTTTTAACTTGGATTTGTGCCAAGCTAAATTTAGACGGACATTGGAATTCAAATAATATACACACAAACAATATTTTAAGAGTTTTATTTGACCTTTAATGTGCCAAGTACATAGGAAAGTAAGTTTATAAAAATCTGTTGTTTATTAAATCAGTTTTAAATGCAATCTGAATAAATCTATGTTAAAGCTATAGAATTGCTTAAATAAATATGTATAGATATAGTGAAAACTTCCTGGTGAGCACAAGTACCCAATTTATAATTTAAAGGCTACATTTGGTTGAAAATCTACATTTTTAATGGTTATACCAACCAAATGAGAATTAACCTCTCTTTAGGAAAATAACTAAAAATCATTTATTTTAAATTGATTTAAAGTAAATAAACCCTGACAAATTTTTAAACTACTTTCTTCTCCCCGTTCTAAATTAGAAGGGATTTTAAAAGGGTTTACATATAAGTATGGAAGTTTCTCCATCATCATCAAATTGAGAAATAAGACTGAGGATTCAAAAATGACAGCTGCTGGAAGAGAAAATTAAGAGTAACCATTTGGCTAGAACAAAAGGAAGCTTCTCAATGTTTTCCCCCGCATCTGATTTTCCTGCATCTGCAACCGTCACAGATTTGTTTCATTTAAATATTCAGTAATTAAAAGTATCCGCAAAAAGAAAAGGAGTACTTGTGGCACCTTAGAGACTAACACGTTTATTTGAACATAAGCTTTCTAAGGTGCCACAAGTACTCCTTTTCTTTTTGCGGATACAGACTAACACGGCTGCTACTCTAAAAGTATCCAATTATACATACTCTAATTTCTAGAAGCCTTTTTAACAGTTGTATTTTAACTCAGCTATTAGCATATGGCTATTTTACACACTCCCAAATACAAAATAAATCTATTTAGTAAAGAAACAAGCCCAGCCTTCAATGCCTCCACTAAACAAACAATTAGATCAAGCCAAGCTCAAGAAGTCCAGGAAGAAGCAACTGTAAAAGTGACCCGGTATATATTACTTCTTGAACACGAATATCCCCCCTCCAAATCTCTTCCAAAATAGTTTGAAAAAAGAAAAAGAACAGTGAAACTAACTTAGTATTGTACTTCCCTGTAAAGGAAAAAATACATACTTGGAAGCCATCTTCTTGCACTGATAGTCTGTGAGCAAGTAAATATCCCCTCTTTCAGTAACACATACTGTAGCGCCATCACTTGCAGCGACTAAGGACAAAATGATGTCCTTATGATGCAAAGCAGAGACTTGGCGAGGAGCAGTTACACACTTCTCTCCATTAGGATCCAGCATATATCCTACAACAAAATACAAACCCCCCATTTATGTTAGTTATTTGAGATTCCATAATTTGTCATTTGATTTTGAGAACTCTTCCCCATTCTCTCCTATAAATATTGCTGAAAAGCCAATTAAAATTTAATTTTTCTATGTTACCAACTCATCTTCACAATTATTAGGCAGAAACGAATCAAAAGGTACTTGTCATTTTTTGTCAATTATCACAAAAATGAAGCTTTGAAAAAAGGTAATGGATTTCTGGCCTACACAATCACAGACCATAGAAAGATAATTAAATATGGTTAGCCATTACAATCACACAACAACAGCTGCATTTATCTTGCTTACCACACTAAACTGGAAGTTCATTAGCAGGACAGATTACACTGTATAAACTCAATTTTACTTTGACTGTGGCAAGACTGTGATATTAGTTGCCACATCACATGAACACAGCCTCCATATATCCATAACTAGTTATTGGCAGGTGCCAAACCAGCTCCTGCTGCATGAATTGACTGTTCAGAAATTGAACAAGCCTGTTTGTAAAGGCTCTTGTACCTAGTTGTAGGGTGGGTTTGATTTTTTTTGTTTTGTTTTTGGGGGGAGTGGGGGAGAGATAAAAGGGAAGGATTCAGACACTCAATCCCATTCCTGTTTCCTATTTTTTAAGAAGAAAACTATTTTTATAAGTTACTAAAAGTCAGCTATTAATTACACATGGTATCTCTAAGCATATTCTTGATGCCAGTCACCTCAGAGATTATAAATACATTTATTTTAATTTTCTGTTTGACTTTTTCCAGAATATACACAGAACTCTAAGTGCTTATTTTCAAACAATATTTTGTAGCAATTAAAAAAAAAAAAAAAAAGGTCTTCCACGTTATTGCTAATTTGACTGTCCTTATATTAGTAATACCCACCACAATATTCCTTGTGCTATCATATTCACTAATACTTTATCCCACTTCCTCCACAGCTGTTTAGCCCACCTCTTCCCCAAATACTCAAGAAAAGAAATGGATTTTGTGATCAAGCCCAGCAGGTAGACAAATCCAGGCTTTGGCAAACTATACTGTGTGGAGAACATTTCAGAACCCAAAACCCCTTCTGAAGAACTCTTAAGAGGCTCCAAATTCAATTGATCAAGACTTTGGTAGTACACCTCTACCCCAATATAACGCAACCCGATATAACACAAATTCAGATATAACGCAGTAAAGCAGCGCTCTGGGGGGTGGGGCTGCACGCTCTAGCAGATCAGCGTGTCAGCATGCCTGGCTCCAACACGCTGCTCTGAGCGGCGTGTTAAGGGTGCCGGGCCAGGGCTGAAGGGTTGGATAAGGGGCAAAGGGTCTCGGGGGGGCAGTCAGGGGACAGGGAGCAGGGGGGGTTGGACGTTTTGGAGGTTCTGGGGGCGGGACAGTCAGGGGACGGGGCGTTGGGGGTGGATAGGGGTGAGGGAGGGCTTGTCAGGGGGCGGGGGTGTGGATAGGGGTGAGGGAAGTCAGCGGGGGAGGTTGGATGGGTCGGGGGTTCTGAGGGGTCAGTCAGAGGGCGGGAAGTGACTATTAATAACAGAAATGCTCGAGGCCAAAGCAAGCTCGATATAACGCGGTAAGATTCTTTGGCTCCCAAGGACCGCGTAATATCAGGGTAGAGGTGTACTGTATAGAGACAGAGACAGATACAATCCCTTAAGTAAACGTTGTTAATAATTATTAAAATAGATTTAAATTTATTTAAAATGCTAAAAATTGTCTAAAATGATAAAAACCTGTGCAAGTCAGACATTAATATAAATACTGACAAAGTAAAATATACACCCAAAATAAATAACTGTTTCAGTCTTATTGTTTTTACAGTACTGGCGGGGGTTAGAAGACAGAGTTATTGAAAGAGTGAGAATTTACACAAAGCTGCATTTCAACAACATTGTTGTAATTTAACCACCATACATTCTCCCCCATCCCTGTACTGAAAATGTGGCTTATGACATCAGGCTCTGCTGTCGCAGGAGGAGTGACAGAGAGGATTGAGCCACATTGGTCTAGCAGAAGCAAGAATCCTACTGTATATCCCACTTATTGGAGTAGCAGAAATTGTATTAGGGTGTACTAAGAGGGCCATGAAATAGCATGGAAACACTATGAACTTAAATTTAAGAACAGAACATGAGATATTTTTAAAATATTTCCTATTGATGACAATTTTCTTATCAATAAAGGTTGTTTTTTATTCCCCAACAGTAATATACAACATTTAACCACGGTTGCCTTGCTCCAACATAGGAGAGATAAAAGCACAGTTTCCAGAGAAGTGCCTAAGCTTCATGGAGTCAGCATACCAGGATTAGCTAACAAAACTTTTCAATCTGCACAGATGTAAACCCAGAGAAAGAGAAACTCAGTCTAAACACCAATATCAGTCTGAGGTTCTAAAGTGTTAAAATGGCAAAAATATTTCATTTCACACAGACCCTTAACTATAAATGAAGTTCACTGCTATGTGGTATGTTTAATAAGCTATCGTCTTAACTCGTCAAATGAAGATTTATTCTGGAAGCAAGAATAAAAGACAATTCTAGTAATGGCTTAGCAAAAATAGCAAACAAAAAACCCCACAATGCATATTCAGATACGTATCTTGCTTTTAAAAAGTTAGTAAGGATGAAAAATTGAGGTAATTCCCAACAGTATATTTACAGATAGGGGAAAGCTGGATAGAGAACATAAAAAAGTGCCAACAGCGTGCCCAGTGCTGTGCACAACACAAGCACTCCCCTTGGGAAATTACAAATTTAAACAATGTTGTCTGCAGTGTTGTTATAGCTGTGCTGGTCTCAGGATATTAGAGAGAGACCAGGTAAATTAAGTAAAATCTTTTATTGGAACAACTTCTGTTGGTGAGAGGCAAGAGCAGCTCTTTGTAGCTCAGAAGCTTGCGTCTTCCACCAACAGAAGTTGGTCCAATAAAAGATATTACCTCACCCACCTTGTCTCTCTAAATTTAAACAATGACATTCTGTATCCTGAAAGTCTGCACTGATGGGCCACACAAGAGTCACAGAAGAGAAAGTTGGCCAAATAAATTTGAACAGTAAAGCTACATTTGACTTACCCCACTCATCCTCAAGCATAAAAATAATCATTGACAGCAGTAAAAAAAGAGTGTGTTCTGGAGCCAGTGGAAGACAAGTATAAACCAACATTAATTAAGCTTCTTTTCTCATACAGATGACGGCTTTTACTTTGAGTAACATTTTTAAAGGCCGATTTTTATTTGTATAACAAAACATTCTTACCTAGCTGGCCACCATTCAGTCCCATGGTATATATAGCTTCTCTAGTCCATAGCACTGTATGGAATCTGCCTGCAGCCACTCCAATCACCATTCTACCTTTCAGATTTTTTGCCTGAACCTACATATAAAAGCAAAGATTTTCATATAAGTGTCAAATCCCAAGCAAATAAAATGTGATGTGCATAAATCAACTTCTTATTTGGCAATAATGAAGTCCATACTAATTAAACTCTTAATGGTTGTATCAGTTTCACTGAAGATTTAGTATAACTAACTTTTGAAATGAACCCTGCTTTTTTTAAGTGAGACACTGTTCCACCAAAGACAAAGAGGAACAAGAAAAATCCAGAAAGGGTTAGCCTATTTCTCCCCTCCTCCGCGCCACCACCACCACGCTAGATTAGAGCCATGCCACCTTGGGCTATCAACAGATCTCAGAATTAAGCAGGGTTAAGTTCAGTTCTTAGGTGAGACAGCCAAAGAAAAATACAAGTTCTGTAAAAAGTGGCTATTGGAAAGCTTCACTCTGTTTAAGTACCAGTGTCCTAGCATGCTGTAAGAGAGCATTTTGATGCTAGATTTCATCCAACAGATGGCAAGTGAAATTAAGAAAATGACCACTCGTGGTCATTGGAGAAGTAATCCCATTCCCTGGCGAAACTTTGACTGCCTCCCAACATCTTTCAACAGGTTCAATTAGACCTGTTACTCTTCACTTCCTCTTGCTAGCTGCCGTGTAATGCTGTGCTACTGAATGCTGTTAGTTGTATTTCACTCCAGATGGCACTTCCCTTCAGTAGTAGGTAAAGCAATTCTTGCATGTATAGTTGCTTTGAGATAGTAAATAACTTATTCTGAGGTATCACCTTGGGCAAGTTCTCCTCCCTGAAATACTGTGCTTCTTGTCTACAACTATCAGGAAAGGTCATTGCAGAAAATTTTCTTTTCCTCTTCTCACTCTACTATCCCTATTACTATTTTTCCCAAACCACTATCAACCTCTGACATTAAAAGGGCTTTCAGGGAAAGGGTGCACTGGGGAGTGCGGGGAAGCCAATGACTTAATGTGCATGTCTAACCTTACAAAGACACAAACCAGCAGCCTAAAACAATCCATGAAAAAGGATACCACTTAGTAAATATGTATTTTTATTTTCACTCATTTGAAATGGAAACCTTTAACTAAAGGAAGTACTTCAGAGTAATATACTTCAGCACTTTTCTTGCAACTGTGCCTGGTCATCAAGTACAGGATTTAGTACTTCTATAACAGGGGTCGGCAACCTTTGGCACACGGCCCATCAAGGCAATCTGCTGGTGGACCACAGGACATTTTGTTTACATTGACCATCTGCAGCCACGGCCCCCCGCAGCTCCCAGTGGCCACGGTTTGCCATTCCCCGACAATGGGAACTGTGGGAAGCAGCGGGCAGCACATCCACAGCACATGTGTGTGGCACATCCACACCACTTCCTGCAGCGGCAAACCGCGGCCACTGGGACCTACAGGGGGCCATGTCTGCTGACGGTCAATGTAAACGCAATGTCTCGCGGCCCGCCAGCAGATTACCCTGATGGGCCGAGTGCCGAAGGTTGCTGACCCCGTTCTATAAGCTTAGAATCCAAGCAGAGCACAGACAGGCAAACCATCTGATTACATTACACAAATATTTAACATTGAGATTGTGTGCTAATGAATTGGAGAAGATGGTTTTATTCGACCCCATGTTCCACTTGAATTATCCCTACAAAGTTTACATATAGACATCAATATGATCTTAACATTTCACTCTCAGTGAGGAAAAGGTCCAAGTAGTAGCTAAGCAGTTATTACCTGTCTGGGAACACTGCAATTAGTAGGAGGAGGAAGAATACCCAATTGATGGTAAGTATTTAGGCCAAAGGTGTAAACATATCCATCTTCTGTTAAAACAACAGTATGATCCTTAGCTGCTGCTACCTGGGAACACTGATGGCCAATTAGACCTTCCACAAGTCTTGGAACCTAGTACAGATCGACCAAGTGTTGAAAACATTAAAAACACTCATTTCTGTACTGAGAGAATTTTTTTAAAAACCATACATACCCCCCCATCACCAAATCACACCAAAAACCCCACACCAAAAATAGAAATGCAAAAGAAAACTCATTTAAAAGGTACAGAATTGTGTAATTATTGTTTGATATATTAACACATTGCATATCACATGGAAAGAAGATTAATATGACAAAATACTTTTAGCATGTACCTTTAGAACAGATCACCTGAAATCTACTCAGAAACTAAATCTAAAACATCTGAGCAGTTTTCAATAGTCACAATTAATTGTGTGTTTGTGTTTGTTTTCTGAAGTTACTCTGATAGAAAAAGGCTTCCTTCTTTCTCCTAAATACGTATTTTTCCTCCAAAATTACAGTGATGCAGTACGGGTTTGAGGTCCAGTCTCTCAGTTCCACTGAAAAGAGGAGAATCACAGCTTTCCAAAAGCCACTTGCTTCTAGCCCTGATTAAAAATGCTGTTTCAGCTAATTTTCAAGTGGGGGGAGAGGGGACCACACAAACACACACTAAGGGATTTTGTTTAAAATCAATTAAATATATAAGGTTTCTCTATAATAGTATCAATCTCCATAATATCAAGGCCTTCATGGCTTTCCGTCAGGACATCTGTAAATTGGATTCATAGTACTAAAGAAGCTTGGCGTTATAAATGGAGTGATCAAAAAAACTCAGCTATTTCTTTTTTAAATGTGACATTTACAGAATATAGGTGAAGTGGTCAAATGATGGTATTGGTACTTGTTTGGGACCTAAATCAGTCATTTATGGCTTTGCCATTCATTTGGCATTCATTCACATAATTCATATGGTTATTCCAAATTCTAGCCAATAATGTCTTTACAGCACACAACTTTATAATATTGTGGGGGAAATTGCTGTTAACCTTGCTGTTGAAACTGACCCCATCCCATTCTACAGCAAAATCTACGCACTATATGCAACATACGCAAAAACTGTAACGCAAGAGGCCTACAGGCCTGTATCCTGTAAGACTTGGCTTAAGCTAAAGCATTTACTTATACTAGGCTGCGGCACTTGACCGAGATAATGGACTAGGCCAATCTCTAACTAGAAAAGAGCCAAAAGGGCCTCCAGAAGAGTCCCTAGCTGTCCATTATATGAACCCTCCACACTGCAAAAGTTCCTAGTCAAAATGCTGCCACAGCAAACTGCAGATCTTGATAAGATCTTGATAAGAACATGGTGCGTCAGAACTGTGCTAGTTATGAAACTGCCCTTCCATTAATTCGTTATAAGGCTTTATTAATAATGCTTGAGTGGTAAGGAAATGTATCATTTGGCTTGAATTTGGACCTATATAAAAGTCTGGTATTATAGGGGCAGGGCAGAGAGAGACCAGGGTGGCACCTGCATGTGACCATCTTGGTCTCCTTCTCCCTGCATGCTTGTATTCAATAAAGGACCTCAAACTGTTTGAATCAAACAGATGGTGTGACTCGTTTTCCACAACAATGTACACACGTATACATATACTTGCAATTTCTCTCATAAATTGCTCCACTCTCAGGTTTCTCATAAAATTTTAAAAATGATGTCATTTCATGTAAAATAAGTACATAATGTTGGTGGTCCATACATAGCCCTGAAGTCTTCATGAAGACTATTACACACAGCACCAAACTGAATTTTAACGTTTTTATTCATCGATTAGCATAATGCAACTACGTACTAGTCAAATGAAAAAATAGGTACTAATCAGTTTCAATACAAATCCATTTAAAATATAAATTCTTCCTTTGTAAATAATTTCTGAACAAAGACTGTCATTGTTTAAAATAACCTACAACTGAACAAAATAAGACATTTAATGAATTCTGAGACTGCATATCTGAAACAAGATTTTTTTGTGCTAGACTATACACTCAATATTTTTAAAGATACCAGGCATGTTTGTTCATCACCATGACCCAAGCGTCCTCCTTGACCATGTCCACAAGTGTAAATCTGTCCTTTCTGGGAAAGGAACACCGAATGAAATTTACAAAGCACCACCTGAAAAAAATATATACAGTTACAGTTTGAGGGGTAGCATTTTAGCATTCTTTTTGTAAATTACTTTGTAAATATGCTGCCTTCACTGAGGAAATACAGTCTGTCCACACAAGACACAACAGAATGTATATCAAACTAGTACACTGTCCATCTTCAATTCATTGTCTATATGGCACTGGAAACTACAACAGCACCATCCTCCTACATGGAATTATTTATCATCATCATCTGTTGTTGCAAAACATAGTTTCCATTTACAAAGCTAGGAATGTACTATGGCTTTCAAATCAGAAGTCAATCCAACATTTTACATCATCGTAAAATACATCCAAAAGGGTATCTATACATCCAAAAAGAGTTGGGAGTCATTGATCTGTGGACTGAAGGGAAAATAGTCCAGGAGCACTTAATCCCCAGAGCAGTTTCAATGACTAAAATAGTACTGTTATATGAGAAAGGGCAGCAAGATCAGCTCCAATATTGAGATTATTTCTCTGTGGAAAAAAAAAAAAATCTTACTCATGATGGTATATGGGTTATTAATCTTTGTTTTTTCAGAATACCTGTTTGATGTAGACTCCATTTCTAGGAAACAGATCCACCAATTCAGGATGATGTTTGCTCTGTTGACCACCATGACCCAAGGTAAAATTTATGTTGTTTCCCCAAGTGTAGACATCTGTGGGATCTAAAATTCAAAGGACAAATTCCATCTGCAATATCTGCTACATCTGTGTGTGAGCTGCATTAATTTAACTCCACCTCTGACATAAGTGTGAACTAGAACAGTATACGTTACTCCAATTAAAAATAAAATTTGAAGAAACAAGGTAAATTCTATTTTAAAGGTATATTTTAAGATTCTTTTGAGAATTTAGAATGATTATTAAGCATGAAATATTTGATCATATTGCATGTCCTGTACATTAGGTCCCTTGTTCTCATATATTTCTCACAATATTTGTCCAACTTCACAGAGCACACATTCATCAGTAAGAACTATTTACATGTCAAGTCTGCAATACAAAACTGCATGAACTACCTTAATTGGTATGCAAAGTTTTGTCTTCCACATATAAAAAAAAAAAAAAAATCAATCATGCTTGGACTCAAACGGCTAAATAGATTTTCTTCAACTCTTCCCATTTAATTTATATTCTAGACCAACCACAAGAACTTTCAACACAAGAGAGACTTTTTGGCTAAATGACAGGTTTCAGAGTAACAGCCGTGTTAGTCTGTATTCGCAAAAAGAAAAGGAGTACTTGTGGCACCTTAGAGACTAACCAATTTATTTTTAGCATGAGCTTTCGTGAGCTACAGCTCACGGATGAAGTGAGCTGTAGCTCACGAAAGCTCATGCTCAAATAAATTGGTTAGTCTCTAAGGTGCCACAAGTACTCCTCTTCTTTTTGGCTAAAGTTATATAGATTAGAGCTGTAATTACCATGATACTAGAAAGTGAACTTTAACCTATTTCCCTCTGACAAACAGATAAAGTCAAATCAGTTCTGATGCAACACTAAGTTTATATTTTATCTAAAGATTCAAAGCATGACTGTAAAGTAATCAATACATTTTAAAATCAACTAAATATCAAAACAATGATGAAATAGTGTTTAATAAATAGAACATAAGGTAATGTCAGCCCAGAATTAGGTTGTATATATTTCTACCACCAAAATACTAAACTATATTTGTGCAACGAAATATTACAGCAATCAAAAATTTAATTGACTAGCAAAGGAAACTGACTAAACTATTTTCATTGCACAAAAGCTGATTGAAATGGGGGGAAAAGCACAAGTGGAGCAGAAACAGGAAAAAGCAAGTTAGATTTTTAAAATTCAATTATAATAATTTAAAGAGATATTAGGAACACAGATGGGGAAGTATATTCAAAGAAGATTTTAAACTTAATAATGTCTTTTAAGAAAGTTCCTATGTACTCAAATTAGCAGATCCCATTACTTAGATATAACAATAACTTGCCAGTGACTAGAATTAGTTTACTTTTTAAAAATCATATAAAAGTTGCACTAAAGTGTTTTGAAGATTTATAATTTTGTATCCCAATTTTTTTAAACTGGCTGCGATGAGATATAGGGAATTCATTTAATCTATTAATGCTGGTGTTAAAACCATGAGGGATGTAATTCAATGTCAACAGATTTATTTAAGTCACTGAATCCCATCAATTTTCTCTAGGCAGGCTCTTGAAAAATAGCTGAACCAAGATGAGGACATCAGACAGAATCCCTCCTAACTAACCTAATGTTAAGACCAGGGTGGATAAAAATCAATGATTTTTTTTAATTAAAATCAGATTTTTTTGATGAAAAATACCTATTATAGCTCAAAGATCTCTCATCATGGAATAGGGATTATAAATTCTAATTCTATAGCATGAGACAATATATTCATGTAATGTTTAAGGAAAGTTTTGTAAATGAGTTCCAATAGTTCATGTATTAGGGATCTAATCTTATGGAGTTCCATAGGCTTCTGTATAGATTATTTAGGTTAATCTTTTTATCTACCCATGGGACTCAGTGCTAAGTCTAAAAGGTACCATCAGAGATGCTTAGTTTTGCAGTTCTCAAACTGCGGATGTGTCTCCCCATAGGTAACATGCTTGTTAACAGCAAAAATGTTTTTAAATAAATAAATAATATATAGAGGTGAGAAATAACAGACCTCAACTATTTTGTCCCTCTGCAAATTTGTGTACACAGAGTCGATCCCTTACGTCTCTCTAAAAGTGCAAAGTCTCAAAAAGTTCAATGAATAGAAGATTGTTGAGGGCGGAACAGATCTGGACAAGGAGAAGAAGTCTGGAGATAAATGTGAGAAGCGAGGGACATACACTTGTTTTGGTAAAATATTATAGGTTTGCTCTTGAAGAAAAAAAATCAAGAATACTTAACGTTGTTGTTTTAGTTAAATAAAACAATTTAAATGTCTGTCTGGTGATGTTCTCCTAATACAACAAGGCAAGAAAATCCTCCAAATATTAATGATTAACCTGTTGAATTGGAGATATTTATGAGGTCACTGGGAGGTGAACTATCTGCTTCGATTACCTTTGGTAAATGAAATAACCAAACAATCATTCATTTTCTGATATAGCTGTAAAACTAATCTGAAAAATTTTCAAAATAAATCACTGTTTAAAAATGTATAGCGTGCACCTTCTAAAAATGAAACCTACATCTCTCTCTGAGTTGTGAAGCATATGTACTAAGGTTATACAAACCAACAAGAAAGCACTTTTATGTAGAAAACCAGGATTAAATTGAGTCTTCCTGACTAGTGATTTAAATCATTATTTAAATCAAATTGATTTAAATCAAATCCACCCTGGAACTTAATACCATAGGTACTTTGAATTTCTCACCCGTAACTACAGTAGCACGTGCATCTTCATTCATTGCTGACAGTTAGTAGAGCACCAATACTGAACTCAAAACAAGTTCTCAAGACATGTTCCAGAACATTATTTAGCCCTATTTACCCTAGGACTTAAACTTCTGCCATCATGAAGTGCTGTTGCATTCTCTTCTGACAAAAAGGTATAGAATGTGTATGTGTAGACAAGGTTTTCTTTCTATGCTCTTACCAACTTACCATGTTGCCTTCACATCTTTTGTATCACATCTGTAAGTACTACACCATTAGTACAGTCATAATTAGAAACAGATAGTACTGTCTACGCATGCACACACATTTATATGTTGATAGCAGTACATATCTTACAGGAATCTCTGTATTAATTTGATGCCCTACCCGTTTTCTTGAATACTACATAGGCTGGTCTGTCCTTCATCACAAGGTCCAAGGCAGATAAGCCTTCTTTATCTTGCATGTATAAACTAACCCCATGCTGAAAGAGGAAAAAACACCTTGTATGAATATTATTATCACTCCTCATTTCACAGCTAGTAAAGAAATGAATATGATAAATATTCTTAGGTGATCTCAGTGGAATTTTACATTGGAGAAGCTAATAAATTCTTTGCATTCCAAGACATTCTAAAGATGGATTTAAACTCAGTAAATAATAATCAGAGACAAGTGACATGGACTTACTATACCAAAAGAAGTCTACAAAGAGGCTTAACTGGACAAGCTTCAACAATAACTACTGTTCTGTGTACAGTGAAAAAACCACAGGAACTGGCACTGACTGCCACAGTTGAAAATAGGCAAACAGGTCTCCCTATTGTGCTTTTAAATCTACTGATGAAAAAGCGCTACACAAGAGCGAGGTATTATTACTACTGTTGGGCACCTTCACCAATGGTAGCAAGGGGGTGTGACAGAAGCGTAGCTGCTCTGTAATAATTTACAAATACTGTATGTTTACTTGTTAACTGGAATATTTTCTCTATGAATGTTGGTTTACTAATAGGAAGATGTGTCAGGAAAAAACAAACAGGAAAGAAAACAATGGCTGAAGATACACCACCCCACTTAACCCAGAAGCTAACACACACACTGTTGGTTGTTATTTTTTATTTAAAGGATAGCAGACTAAGTCATTTTCACTAATAGGATGGGGGCTGTGTAATTTTTTTTTTTTTTTTTGGTGATTGCTGTGCACATTCAAAACACATAGCAATCTGGACTCCGAACTAAAAGAATCCTTCAGATCATCAGTCTGTACTTCAAACTGTCTTTTGGGGTCTTTTGTTCATTCCTGCAGAGGCTGCAGCCTCTAACACTAGAAGACTAACAGATTCATCTTTGGATGAATTATTCAAATATTTGCCGGACTGATCTAACATGATTAGTTCCCCAAAAGAGTTCATTTTAGCCCTGGAAGCAGTTCCAAAGAAGATGTCAAAGGAAGAAGTCTATATATTTTTAGTGCAGCTATTGTTAGATAGTATCTCGGGGCAAAGAGAAGCAAGTCACCACACGCACAAAAAAACAACAAGAAACAGCAGCTTGGAGTGAATACATATGAGACACAACCTATACTGAAAAAGTTTTAAAATTCTCCAGTAATGAATCTCATACACTCTAAAATGTTAAGAGGTCATTAGAAAGTGTTGAGAAACATACTACTTGGAAACGTTCCAAGGAAAGAATGCTTAGGATGAAAGTAAGGTGGCACATGAAACAAGCATTTTAGAAACGCCAATGCTTCTAAAATTAAAACTGTTGGAGCCACAACCATTTTTATTTATCTGCCAGTTGAAAACAGATAAGGCTAGCAATGATCAGACAGTGTAATACTTTAAGTAAGAAGGGCAGAACGCCCTGGCCGCTATCTGGTCAGTGACTGGCTAAAGAGACAAGTGGGACAGAGCTTAAGCCCAACATTACAATCAGCTTCTAATTAATTTCACTTTCATGTACTACTAATAAAATGCTACAAATTTTTGAGCTGTAGATACCTGATTTGTTAAGTACTGTTTCCATTTAACAATTTTTAGTGTCATGGAAACATTTCCGTTACTATATTTGGTAAACGCTTATTTTTACAGAAATTCAAAAATCTGGTGCCAAAGCTAAACCCAGACTGTTTTGTTAAGATCTCTACCCTGCAAGAGTTTCCAAGTAAATGGAAACACATGCAGCCCATTGACTTCAACAGGATTCCTCACAGGCTCAGGGGTCAGGTCCTGTGGAGTCACTTACAAAATCAACACTTGAGATCCTGTCTATATTCCAAGCTACACAGGTTTAACTTCAGATTGGCCCAATTGTTATTAGAAATAAGGAATCAAGTTAAACTAAAATCAATGCAATTCAGGTTTACATTGAATTAAGCTGTGTCCACAAAGCGTTTTGTACTAGTTTAGCTCAATCAGTTTAAAAGTCACACCTTGAGTGAAATTTTGATATAGGAAAAGGCATTTCAATACAAGTTCATGTATCACACACCACAAACATTAAAAAAAATTAGTGTGCAATACATGAAGTCAGATACTGACCTTCAGCAATGACCAAACACAGTCGATGTGTCCATAAAAGATGCCTCTGTGCAAAGCTGTCCATCCAGACTCCTTGTCTTTTGCCAATAAATCCACTCCTTTGGTGTCTGCCAGCCAATCTAGCACGCCTTTCTTACCACAGGATGAAGCAAGATGGAGGACATTCCTGCCAAAGGTATCCTTTAGAGTTGCTGCATTGTAGCAGTAAGAAGAAAGAAAGGCCTTGATCTGGCCTTCACTTCCTCTGGTAACTACAGAAATAATATCCAAAGCATGCTGCAGGGAATGACACTTCAGAGTGCAGTCAGGCAGGATAGAATTCATTCTCACCTTTCTGAAACGGCTCCCTCATTAAGAGGAGCAGCCAGTAAGAATGCTAAGGCACTCCCTTTTTACAACACAATACAGTGCTGGAGAAAATTCATGATTCCTAGTACTTAAATTCAGTTTCATACAGCAGCCATGAGAATCTTCATGCACTTATGTTTGGCACTTAATCAAAAAATACAAATATTTATAAATATAAATTTATATTTTAAAGTCTTATTTCTCCATATTATACAACAAAAATCTTGTTATTGTCCATAGAAAATTCCAAGAATCAAAAGAGTGGGGAGGGGGGCTCCCCCTCCACACCGTCTAATTCTTCTAAATCTCCATAATTGCAAGGGAGACCTGCAAGAAAAGGGATAAAAGGGGAAAGAGACAAATAAGGATTATGCAACATTCAATAGACTTTTACACCAAGACCGTACTTGTTTGTGGGTTTGGGATTGTTTTTTTTTTTTGTTTTAATAGATATGAGAAACATTGAATTTTGGTAGGCCCAATTTTTGGTATCTATTGCATTGATGTCTCCATATATCATAAAAGCCCCACCTGATTCCTGTAAAAATATGAAACTTCTCAGTCATGCCCCACAGTTACTCCAGTTGACTGAATCACCCAACAGCCCCCTTGATTATCCAAATGATTTAAATAATGTATGGATTAAAAGGACAGTAAGAACTTTAAAGGTAAAACTGCGCCATAATCTACATCCACCCACCCACCCACAAAATACATGTCATTCTTTAAACGTGTTTGGGGGGAGGGAGGAAATTGTTGTGGTTTTTTTAGCAAAATTTTATTTTAGAAAAACTCAAATTTATTCTCTCAGAGGAAAAAATAAATCTGGGTAAGGAAAACATTTCAATTTCAAGATTCTAATGATTCATTTTCAAGTCTGACCAATGAGACTAAGAAGGATTCTTAATTATAGGAAATATCCTAGGCTGCCAGACACTATAGTATTGTGTTTTATTCATTTAAAAAACAAACAAATCATACATTAAATGAAGTACAAACAACCAGCATTCAAAGCCAAAAAAATCCCAACCATTCAGCTAAGTACATAATCAATTAGAATCGTCAGTGACCTACATACACCTCTCAGAAAAATTAAAACTGCTGTTCAATCTGAATTTGAACTCCTATTCAAGCTAAACAAAAAATAAAAAAAACCACAACACACAAACTTTAAAACATCAACCTTCTCCAGCACAAACGTCACATTCTGAGCCAGATACTACTCTCATCTACATGTGTGCAACTCCCTCACTTTAACAGGGTGACAAAGTGAATGGTGTTTGGCCCTCTATATGTAGGATTTAGAACTTTTTAGCTTACGAATGAAACCTGGGTTTGAAATTCGCCTAGAAACGTGAGTGGTATATCCCAAAAGGACCAGTACAATGTTTTCACAAGAACTTGATTAATAATACATCAATGAGTCCTGTTAATATTAACTCAATATGAAACAAATTTAACATAGCTATGTTCAAAAACCAGTCGGAGAACACTTCAACTTCTTTGGTCACTCAATTACAGACCTAAAAGTGGCAATTCTTCAACAAAAAAACTTCAAAAACAGACTCCAATGAGAGACTGATGAATTGGAATTAAATTTGCAAACTGGATACAATTAACTTAGGCTTGAATAAAGACTGGGAATGGATGGGTCATTACACAAAGTAAGACTATTTCCCCATGTTTATTTCCCCACCGCTGTTCCTCAGAAAGAAAAGGAGTACTTGTGGCACCTTAGAGACTAACAAATTTATTAGAGCATAAGCTTTCGTGAGCTACAGCTCACTTCATAGGATGCATACAGTGGAAAATATAGTGGGGAGATTTTATATACACAGAGAACATGAAACAATAGGTGTTACCATACAGACTGTAAGGAGAGTGATCAGGAAAGGTGAGCTATTACCAGCAGGAGAGCTGGGGGGGGGGCAGGGGGGGCGGGGGGATGATCTTTTGTAGTGATAATCAAGGTGGGCCATTTCCAGCAGTTGACAAGAACAGTAGGAGGGGAAGTAAACAAGGGGAAATAGTTTTACTTTGTGTAATGACCCATCCACTCCCAGTCTTTATTCAAGCCTAAGTTAATTGTATCCAGTTTGCAAATTAATTCCAACTCAGCAGTCTCTCATTGGAACCTGTTTTTGAAGTTCTTTTGTTGAATTGGTCACTCGATTACAGACCTAAAAGTGGCAAAGAGATTGAAGTGAAGTGTTCTCTGACTGGTTTTTGAATGTTATAATTCTTGACATCTAATTTGTGGCCATTTATTCTTTTACGTAGAGACTGTCCAGTTTGGCCAATGTACACGGCAGAGGGGCATTACTGGCACATATGGCATCATTGGTAGATGCGCAGGTGAACGAGCCTCTGCTAGTGTGGCTGATGCAATTAGGCCCTATGATGGTGTCCCCTGAATAGATATGTGGACACAGTTGGCAACGGGCATTGTTGCAAGGATAGGTTCCTGGGTTAGTGGTTCTGTTGTGTGGTTGCTGGTGAGTATTTGCTTCAGGTTGGGGGGCTGTCTGTAAGCAAGGATCGGCCTGTCTCCCAAGATCTGTGAGAGGGATAGCTCATTCTTCAGGATAGGTTGTAGATCCTTGATGATGCGTTGGAGAGGTTTTAGTTGGGGGCTGAAGGTGATGGCTAGTGGCGTTCTGTTATGTTCTTTGTTGGGCCTGTTCTGTAGTAGGTAACTTCTGGGTACTTTTCTGGCTCTATCAATCTGTTTCTTCACTTCAGCAGGTGGGTATTGTCAGTTATAAGAACGCTTGATAGAGATCTTTTAGGTGTTTGGCTCTGTCTGAGGGGTTGGAGCAAATGCGGTTGTATCGTAGAGATTGGCTGTAGACAATGGATCGTGTAGTGTGGTCTGGGTGAAAGCTGGAGGCATGTAAGTAGGAATAACGGTCAGTAGGTTTCCGGTATAGGGTGGTGTTTATGTGACCATTGCTTATTAGTACTGTAGTGTCCAGGAAGTGGATCTCTTGTGTGGACTGATCCAGGCTGAGGTTGATGGTGGGATGGAAATTGTTGAAATCATGGTGGAATTCCTCAAGGGCTTCTTTTCCATAGGTCCAGATGAAGAGGTCATCCATGTAGCGCAAGTAGAGTAGGGGCATTAGGGGACGAGAGCTGAGGAAGCGTTGTTCTAAGTCAGCCATAAAAATGTTGGCATACTGTGGGGCCATGCACGTACCCATAGCAGTGCCGCTGATTTGAAGGTATACATTGTCCCCAAATATGAAGTAGTTATGGGTGAGGACAAAGTCACAAAGTTCAGCCACCAGGTTTGCTGTGACATTATCGGGGATACTGTTCCTGACGGCTTGTAGTCCATCTCTGTGTGGAATGTTGGTGTAGAGGGCTTCTACATCCATAGTGGCTAGGATAGTGTTTTCAGGAAGATCACCGATGGATTGTAGTTTCCTCAGGAAAGCAGTGGTGTCTCAAAGATAGCTGGGAGTGCTGGTAGCGTAGGGCCTGAGGAGGGAGTCTACATAACCAGACAATCCTGCTGTCAGGGTGCCAATGCCTGAGATGATGGGACGTCCAGGATTTCCAGGTTTATGGATCTTGGGTAGCAGACAGAATACCCCAGGTCAGGATTCCTGGGGTATCTGTGCAGATTTGTTCTTGTGCTTTTTCAGGGAGTTTCTTGAACAAATGCTGTAGTTTATTTTGGTAACCCTCAGTGGGATCAGAGGGTAATGGCTTGTAGATAGTGGTGGTGGTGAACTGCCTAGCAGCCTCTAGTTCATATTCCGACCTACTGATGACGACGACAGCACCTCCTTTGTCAGCGTTTTTGATTATGATGTCAGTTGTTTCTGAGGCTGTGGATGGCATTGTGTTCTGCACGGCTGAGGTTATGGGGCAAGTGATGTTACTTTTGCACAATTACAGCCCGTGCAGGTCAGCGGAAGCACTCTATGTAGAAGTCCAGTCTGTTGTTTCGACCTTCAGGAGGAGTCCACCCAGACTCCAATGAGAGATGGCTGAATTGGAATTAATTTGCAAACTGGATACAATTAACTTAGGCTTGAATAAAGACTGGGAATGGATGGGTCATTACACAAAATAAAACTATTTCCCCTTGTTTATTCCACCCTCTCCCCCCTTTACTGTTCTTGTCAACTGCTGGAAATGACCCACCTTGATTATCACTACAAAAGGTCCGCACTCCCCCGGCTCTCCTGCTGGTAATAGCTCACCTTTCCTGATCACTCTTGTTACAGTCTGTATGATAACACCCATTGTTTCCATGTTCTCTGTGTATATAAAAAACTATATAAAATCTCCCCACTATATTGTCTACTGTATGCATCTGATGAAGTGAGCTGTAGCTCACGAAAGCTTATGCTCTAATAAATTTGTTAGTCTCTAAGGTGCCACAAGTCCTCCTTTTCTTATTGTTAAAATATATAGACTTTATTTCCAGTCTGAGTTTCTCTAGCTTCAACTTCCAGCCACTGGATCATGTTATACCTCTATCTGCTAGACTGAAGTGCCCATTATCAAATATTTGTTCCTCATATAAGTACTTCTAGGGTGTGATCAAGTCACCCCTTGTCCTTCTCTTTGATGTGGGAGTGTTCCACAGTCACCCTTTCTTGAAGGATATGCAAAAGAGAACTGACCCAGTATTGGATATTGATAAGGAAGTCGTCATTCAATGAGCACCAGCCCACCTCCTTATTCCAAGGAAGTGGAAGAGGTGTTTGAGAACCATGACAACTGCCGAAAGTGATAAACTAGAAATATGACACTACACCCTGCACAGATACAGAGATAAGTGCTCTCTTACAAATATTTACTTTCCTTTATAAAGCATTTTGAGATCTACAGATTAAATGTATTATAGAAAAGCTAAGTATTATAATTCATATAATCTGTCACACTTTAATACCGGACCTTGGTTCAAAAATTAAAAAGGGAAAAAAATATACATATATAAATATTTAGCTTTGACACGTCTATGAGAACCCTGCATTTTCCCTCTCCTTCACTATGCTCCCAAGAATTATTCAAAGTTTATAACAGTGCTATGACTGTACACAGCAGTGCATTCCATATGATGGCATCAATACAAAATTGACATTAATTATAATGTCATTGCCAGCTTTCATTTTAGAGCCCACACATGGAAAGTTCTGACCAAGCAAATCTCAAATAGCACCAATTACAAAGACACTTTCATTGGAGATACTCCAGAGATAAGAACATAGGGTAAGGAAAACAGGAAAAGATGCAGAATTTTTTTTTAAAAAGGGGGGTGGGCAGAAAAATCAACAGAGAAACAGACACAGACTTACTGTGGACAGACAGATCAGGTATTAAAAAGGAAATGCAAAAACTACATGGCTAGGAAGCCATGTACAATATTACATAATAAGAAACCAAGAGACAAGCAGTGAGTTACAATAAACTAATTCCATTCTGATTGCACTTTTGCAGCAAATGTAGAATTTTGACATGATAGAATTATTGTCATGTAAGTCAGTTCAGCCCTCCTTTATTACAGTATTACAAACAGGGTTGCATGTACTATTAGCGCATTAATACACCTCTTCCGGCATTTTATGAGGCACAAGGTCGTATATATCTCCAAGGCAAATACTAATAGATCAATTAAAGCACACAGTCATATTATTATAGTGCTCAAAAACAGGTTAGCAATTCTATTTAATTTTTTTTTTTTTAAGAAACATAACAGGTCCCCAAGCCAAAAAGTTTATAAATTAAGGCCCCAATACAGCAACTGATCCTCATGTCTATGTGAAACGCTGTTGACTTCAATGGGGCTCTGCACAGATGCAGGAGTCTACCCACATAGATTCCCAATGAAAGGGATCAGAATCTAACAGAGAGGGCAGGGAAGTAGCACAAGCGTGTGGTGTTGTTTTGTAATTCTGTTTTTGTATGGTGCATAAGCCATGGTCTATTTCTCTTTCTGTCCAATGACCTCTGCCTATATTTCTCTTTTGGTAATTATTAACCCTTATTTTAATTTGTGTTATAACACTAGCCTTTTTTCTTTTTTAAACCTGTAATTATTGAGCTTTTTATTCTTTCAATAAGAACTAAAACTCCATGCCTTTTTAAAAAAAATATTTTGTTGTTACAAAAGGCCTAGAATGTCAGTGTTAACTCTTTTTGAAGAGCAACTTCCAATTTTAACATACTCTTTCATTACAGAAAATGGTTTGCAGCAAAGAGAGGAGGAATTAAAAAGAACGGAGTAGCAAGAGTATCATGAAGATGTTTATGTTTGATCGTTCATTTTGCGGCAGGATTGTTTCTAAATCCTTACCCACAACAAAGACTCTTAGGACTTGTCTTCACATACAGCACTACTGCCGTGCAGCTGTAGCATTTTAGTGAAAATGTTCCTACACTTCTCCCAACAGTGTAGTTAATCCACCTCCCCAGGAGGCAGTAGCTATGTCAGTGGGAGCAGCTCTCCTATCAACACAGCACTGCTTACGGGGAGGTGTGGGGTGTGTGTGTGTGTGTATAGAATGCCAGTATAACTATGTTACTCAGGGGTGTAGACGGTTCACACCCTGAGTGACATCGTTATATTGCATGGGTTGGTAGCGTAGACCTGGCCTTAAATATGACCGGCTTTTTCCAGGAGCACAAATCCTCTCACTAGACTCCTCAGCAGCCCACGTGAAGAAGAGAGATCTTACAACTATTGCCCCTCAAGAGTTGCCTATTGGCAACAAGCACATGGGACTATTTCAAAGCCTTGTGAATCAGGGAGCACATAAGCACCCTCATTCACCATCTTACATCAGACACCCTAATGGGTACGCATTCTCCCAACCTCAGTTTCTTCTCCTGAACTGCAGAGTTCTGTATGTCATCAGAACTTTTTGGGCAGAGGAAAAGATGACTAAAATTGCTGGAGTTGCAGCCAACAATTGACTCAGTTCTTTATTAGCACCCCACGTAGAAAGTCCGGTCCATTTGTCTGTCACTTCTCAAAGTAGGTAACAGGGAGACTGCTCAAGAGAGCAAAGTTATGTATGTGTTTGCAAGATCAAGGCCATGGTTATCACTATTCAGAATTTTTTCCTTTTCTCTCTCTTTACTATCTTTACATATTAAAAAGGCAATTTTTCCACCACAAAAAGCTCTAATAAAGGTCAAATATCTTTTCTGATCTAGAAGATTTTATCAATAAATTAAATCTTGTGTAACAATTTAATGTAAATTTAAAGCAGCCTTTAAGCAATTTAACCCCAAAGGTATTCACAAAATTCATCTATATTAATATGCAGCGTAAAGAATCTGTGACAAGGAAAAGGGGTGGCTGCATGTGCAGGAGAGAGCGGGGTAGGGACTGATGGGATAAATTAAACAGAATATGATATTAAGAGAGAAAGATTTGAGGGGAGATTAGGAAAAGAAAGACAGAAAGTTAGGGAGAACATAGAGAACACAATGCAGAGTATGAAGGAGAGAGGTAAGTAGGTGAAGAGAAAAAACAAATACCGGAAATCACTCAAGAAAAGTAAGGACCATGTGAAGCATAGCAAGAAAGCATATCAAAACCATGAGATCAGGGGTTTTATTATAGTGTATTAATCAGAAAAGTGACTGACAATATTACATATATCACCAAACTTTTATGCTCTTGAATTGCAGGGAGATGGTTTGGGGAGTACTGTAGCACAATTAGTTTTCACCCTAGCTAGGAAGTGCTTAAATAACACAGCAATGAGCACTATATGTTTAAAAAAACAAAAGAGAGAGATTAGCTAGGCAACTTAGTTCTTGGGGTAGCAGTGTCAGGTAAATATTTCAAGTCCTGTTTTATATTAGGCACAAGTTACAGTATCATTTATGATCTGCAGGGTATCTAACAAGACACAGTACATAGATGAAACATTACAAACAATATTTCAATGAATGCACTAAAATTCTTGAACAGAAAATGAGGTTTGAAGCTCTGTTTGCAGTATCGTTGTAGCTCTGTTGTTCACAGAATATTACAGAGACAAGGTGGGTGAGGTAATAGCTTTTATTGGACCAACTTCTGTTGGTGAAATAGACAAGCACTGAAGTTTACAAAGCACTCTTCTTCAGGTCTGATATTTAAGATGACTTTCAGAACTAATCTAAGAGCTGTCATGATTAGAGAAAATATGAATAGCTTACATGTAGATAAACAGTATCTCTTCAAATTCTTCCTGTTCATGCAAAGTGTTGAAAAGTCATTTATAATTTAACATTAGAGAAGGAAGAAAAAGTTGAAGCAATTTGGATAGAGAGCACACCTGTTATAATTTGGAAGATGGCAGAAACATTTTTAGTATACTAAAGATTAAGATCATTGCACTTTGGGCTAGACACCAATGAAACATGTATTACATTCATTCACTCTGGCATCTAATTATTCTGTAGTTTAATTTTTCTCCCTATTTTGGCAAACACTGGGAGTGCTGTAGAGGCAGAACACCTAGCTCCACGGAAAGGAACAGCAGCATGTTGCTCTTCTCCTTGATAGCCTCTGCAATGTTCCAAATCCCTACCAACCTAAGAAAAAAGGGATCAAGACCCAAACCTAAAACTCATTCTTCACGGCTCCAGACGCCCATAAATTTGCTTTTAAGTGTCTTAGACTTCTAAAATTCTATTATTATTATTGTTTAATTTAGCTAGGTTTTAGTTCTCAAAACATTTTCTAGTATTTCACTATAATTGTAAACTCTTTCCAAAGTAATCATTATTCCAGTGAATAATTCAAGGTCAAATAAAGTGATTTCAGAATGTATACAACACATACCTTGATACTCTCTGGTCCAAAGTAAAGGTCTTAATGTTTAGCCCATTTTTAATGTTAAAAAGTGTTTTCATAATCTTTAAAATTGTCTTCCATATAATAGTAGTATGATCACCATCAAAACTGCTTCATTACACAGAAGCATTGTCCTTCCAGTCTCTTTAGGGTGGTATAAGTGGTTGTTCAAACAACATCAGGTAACAAACATTACACATGTAGCAATTGAAACTTCCTCAAAAAACTACACCAAACCTGGAAAAAAATTAGAGAGCCTATTTGTAAGTGACCAGAGTCACAAACAGGCATAAAATAAATAAATAAATCACAGTGCATATCCTGACATTACATTAGAACATTTTTTAATCATGATGTAGAGCTGTTCTAACTCAAAGCTATCACATACAAATAAATCATAACCCAAAACACCAGGATAACATGCTGCAATTATTTTTTGGCACCATGCAACTCATTTGACATAACTTCTCCTTTCTCTGCCTTTACTGCTGCAGAAGGGAGGGAGATGGAGGAAAGGAATCCCAGCAGCTCTAGCCCACTTGTTCAATGTTCATTAGTCACGATGTTAATCTCATCACTGTTAATGAATACCATAAAGAGAAAGGTCTGTACTTAATTCATAACAAAATAAAACATCAAAATGGAGCACAATTAATTAACCAGCTTTACTAAAGTATCTTGAAATGACTCCATTTTACACAAATTGAACCCATTTGTCAGAACTAATGAAATACAGATGTTGAAGCCTTTTAAATATAAAAAGGAATGTTGCATGTGGTACATTTGGAAATGGTCAAAATTATTCAGACTTAATATTGTGTATTCAAACACATACAGGCATGCACACACACACTACAGCTCCCCCCACTCATTTACTGGAACCATATGCTGGATCCTTGATTAAGCTCTATGTGTCAAACAATGTTCACACCTTATAATATATTCTGGTGAACCAACAATACCTTTTTCAACATTTCACTGAATTTAAAATTATTTGGTGGATTTACCACTTAAAGTGTGAATTTCATAAATAAATTCAGTACAGGCTGCCAAATATCTATTAGGAAACTTTTATCTGAAATGCGTTATTATTTAAAAGGTGGGTGGTTTGTATCATAAATAATCTGGAGGATGGTGTGGATTGCACCCTCAGCAAGTTTGCAGATGACACTAAACTGGGAGGAGAAGCAGATACGCTGGAGGGTAGGGATAGGATACAGAGGGCCTAGACAAATTAGAGGATTGGGCCAAAAGAAATCTGATGAGGTTCAACAAGGACAAGTGCAGAGTCCTGCACTTAGGACAGAAGAATCCCATGCACCGCTACAAACTAGGGACCGAATGGCTCGGCAGCAGTTCTGCTGAAAAGGATCTAGGGGTTACAGTGGACAAGAAGCTGGATATGAGTCAACAGTGTGCCCTTGTTGCCAAGAAGGCTAACGGCATTTTGGGATGTATAAGTAGGGACATTGCCAGCAGATCGAGGGACGTGATCGTTCCCCTCTATTCGACATTGGTGAGGCCTCATCTGGAGTACTGTGTCCAGTTTTGGGCGCCACACTACAAGAAGGATGTGGAAAAATGGGAAAACATCCAGCAGAGGGCAACAAAAATGATTAGGGGTCTGGAACACATGACTTATAAGGAGAGGCTGACGGAACTGGGATTGTTTAGTCTGCGGAAGAGAAGAATGAGGGGGGATTTGATAGCTGCTTTCAACTACCTGAAAGGGGGTTCCAAAGATGATGGCTCTAGACCGTTCTCAGTGGGAGCAGATGACAGAACGAGGAGTAATGGTCTCAAGTTGCAGTGGGGGAGGTTTAGGTTGGATATTAGGAAAAACTTTTTCACTAGGAGGGTGGTGAAACACTGGAATGCGTTACCTAGGGAGGTGGTGGAACCTCCTTCCTTAGAAGTTTTTAAGGTCAGCCTTGACAAAGCCCTGGCTGGGATGATTTAGTTGGGGATTGGTCGTGCTTTGAGCAGGGGGTTGGACTAGATGACCTCCAGAGGTCCCTTCCAACCCTGATATTCTATGATTCTATAAGACAGGCAGCAGCCAATCTCCTCAGTGGAAAGAAGAGTGAGACCAAACTAAAGAAAAGGTGGTGGAGCACCAAGAAAACCCAGAAAGGTCTCTGGTTTTTTGAACTCTATTAAAAAGTTTCATCACTTTGGTACTTCTCCAAGAATGTTTCTGTACACCGGGTTTGAAGCCTACATCACTGGAGGCCACTGCCAAAAAGTCTAGAATAAATAACCTGAGAGCCCACGAAAGGAAGAGGACTTTCGAGGCTGTCTGTCTGGATAAGGACAGCTGCCCAGATCCTTCCTGTGGTCCCTTTAAGGCGTTTCAAAGCGTCAGTGCCAGGCAGGGGTCTGTGTCTGGGACACGGTGCACACACCTCCCCACTCAGGCTCCTATGGCGAGGGGGCTGCCAGGGGAGGGCTCGGACTGAGCTACCGCCAGCCTCAGCGCCGCTCTCCTCCGCCAGCTGTGCGGCGGCCCCGCCCCTCCCCGAGCCTGTCTGTCCATCTTCCCCCCGCCAGCGACTCTGTCCCCGAGTCTCGCCCCCTCACACCCGCCTATGACTCTGCCTCCTGGGAGAGTTCACGCCCCTTTCCCCCTCGGGGCCCTTGTCCGCCTCCAGGCCAGCTCCCGCCTGTCTCTCCCGCTCTGTCTCTCGCCTTGGTCTCCGTCCCCCCCCCCCGGGAACCGGTCCCCGCCGCCCGCCCGACACGTCGGCAGGACTCTGCGCCTCCTCACCAGTCGCTAGATGAAAGGGCTCGGACAGGGTCGGCTGGACGCGCGCTGCGCGGCGCGGGGACTCATCCTCAGTGCCTCCCACTCAGGGCCAGGCTGCCAGAGGGCTCAGACCGCCCGAGCGGAGCAGAGCGGCGGCAGCCACGGCTACAGCCCAGGGCCGGGGGGCAGGAGAGGGAACGGCTGCTGAGTGCCCACACCGAAACAAGAGCTCACGGGATTGGCGGGAGCGCTGTGTATCCCGCACGCCTATTGGCTGACGGTAGCCACCGCTCCGGCCAGCGCCTTCGGGCAGGGAGCCAGGTGTGACTGGCACGCGGGGTCAGAGGGCGGGCACCGCTGACGGGGCTAGGTGCGCGTGGCGGGGCTGGGCTGGGCTGGGCGCGCGTGTGTGGCGGCGGTGCAGAGCCCGGCATCGTGGGCAGCGCGCTTTCCCCTCCCTTGTCCCGCACAGGGACGGTTCATTGCGGCAGGGGTCATGAGCACGGGCGGGACATTTCTAGGGACGGGGAGATGCCACCCCGCTCCCGGGAGAGCCTGCTTTAATGTGAGGGAGGAGAAGCAGCCTCAAAGATCCAGAATCACGAGTCAGACCCTCCCCGCCCAAAAAGAGAGATTTGTTGGGTTTTGTTTGTTTGAAGCTATTGGAGTTTTGTTCAGGCTCCCGCTGTTGACCTCCCAGCCCGCCCATGCCCAGGGAAGGTGTGGGGCAGTTAGTGTTGCCTGATCTCCCAAATTTAGTGCTAAGATTATCTTGACCCCTGATGTGGGCGCACTCACTACCACATCTGCCCATCCTGCGCAGCAGTTAATTCTGTCCCCACCTCCAAATCTATTCTGTACAGCAGTTTAGCCCCCGGCACCTCTGCTCCTCCAGAGGCTCTTCACCCCCCCCCCCCCACACACACACACACCTTTTCTGGGCCTAGGGTGGGCTACAGTGGGGTCCACTCCCTCTCCCCGTTCCAGAATGGGGGCAGGGGTGTTGCCCCTTCCCAGCCTTGTTGCTGTGAGGTGAGGAAGACGCATAGATACCATCCTGGGCATATTGCTTACTGGAAGGGAGTGTGGCTGCCCTGAACTGCCTGGGTTCTTTAGCTCTCCCCTCTCCCACCCCCCAAATGGCTTTGGGTTGGTGAATGGAGGGGGAGAGAGAGCTGTGTCAGCAGTTGTTCAGCTCAGGAGGTAGGCAAGTGGGGCAGGCAGCCACTCAGGGTCAACGTTGCTAGAAAACTTGGAGCTTCTCATTGTAAGACTTGCTCCAGCCCCCGCTAAAATCCTGTTACTCAGGAAAAAATGATGAGTTGGCAACACAGCAAATCACAACGCACTGTGATGATGTTTAAAGGCAATGCCAGTGTCCGTACAATGCAGTCACCATGGTATACACTGTGTTGGCACCATGCACCTGGGATATACAACACTGGTACCAGGTGCCATAGGATGGAGTTTCGTAGTCCATGAATGTTCTTGCCAGACATGCAGATGTTACATTCTCAGACGTGGGGCTAGTTTTAAACTGGAGCATTTTATCAAAACATTTGCCATAATCCAGCTTGTACAGCTTGTACTTGGGGGGGCTTCCAGGACCGCAGTTTCTGCAACAACCCGTGGTCACATGTCCCTCTGATTTGTTCAGCAGAAAATTCCATCCCTTAAAGAAATGGAAAATAGAGCCCTCGCATTCCATCCAGTTCTTATACCAAAAAATAGTCCAAATTTAGACTAGCATTCATATCATAATGTAGAAGTGCTCCACAATCCCCCACAATAAAACTGGAAGAAGCAGGAGATGGAAGGGGTGTTGTGGATAACTTGTAGTCATATATTGAACACAGTTATGGTTCTCTTATCTCTAATAAGAAAGTGCAAAGACCCTGGACACTTCAGGACCCAACATACCATGGTCTATCTAGATCTCAGCAGCTCATATAAAAACGTTGAATGTCACCTCTGCAGTACCTGGACAGTAATAAGGAAATATTGCGGATAGAGGGGGACCCAGGGCTGCCAACTACCTCATCTAGGCACAGTTGAGTGACCTTGCTCCTGACTATTAAGTTTTGTGACCTGAAGACTCACCACCAAATACTGCGCTCAAACAACATTGGTGAAAGAATGTCAATGGGATTGCATGAGTATCAGGGACAATTGAAAATGGCTCATATTTTTTTCAGTCCAGTCTATTGATGCAGAGTATTTAGAAACAGGCCACATGAGCAGGTATGTGGCCCCAAACCTCATTTGATAGAATTTCATAGATACAGAATTGAAGGCTAGAAGGGACCATTAGTAAGGATGAGATTCTGTCGCGGAAGTCCTGGATGTGACGTTGCACTCTATATGCTTATAAGTGTAAATATAAAATAACTGGAATATGCTTTGTGCTAGGTATGCCATGTAACATATTTTTGCGGAGATTATGATCTACTGCATATATTCATCCTATTTCTGTGCATGTTTCATTTTTATGTCTGAAGTTACGAGCATTGGTTCTATGTTTGTATTTGAAGTGTTTGCTGTAGGAAACACATAAGGGAGGTTTGGCCAATATATTGTGAAGGGGCTATTCAAGTAATTGGAAGTACTTAACTAACAATGGACTTTGGGAGATGCCAATCCACATCTGAGCTTTCCTGGGAACGCTCAAACTAACATGTAAACAATGGCGTTGGCCTGCAAAAAGATGAATCATTCATGGACATGTGACTTGCCCAGGTGGCTACAAGCTCCACCTTGATGCTGTGATTTTGCACAGAAGAACAAAGGGGTTTCCGTCCATGAGAGAGACTATAAAAGGCCCTGGAAGCCTCTCCATTTTATCTTCAGCTGGCTCAAGAGATGGCTTCTCTACCCAAAGAGATGCCTGAAAAAAGCTAGAACAAAGGACTGTAACTATAGGGGTGTGAGTGATTGCTGGACCCAGGCTATAGATTACAACGTTGGTCCAAAAAGTACTGTACCTGAGGTAATATCTAGGGAGAGAAGTTAGTATTTGTAACTAGATCCTTAGTGTAGTAAGTTAGCCTTGCTATTTTGGTTTATTTTACTTGGTAACTTACTTTGTTCTGTCTGTTATTACCTGAAACTACTTAAATCCTACTTTTTATACTTACTTAATAAAATCACTTTTTTGCTTATTAATTAAATCAGAGTAAATAATTAATACCCGGGGGAGCAAACAGCTGTGCATATCTCTATCAGTCTTGTAGAGGGAGGACAATTTATGAGTTTACACTGTATAAGCTCTATACAAAGTAAAGCGGATTCATTTGGGGTTTAGACTCCCAGAAAGACTGGGTGCTGGAAAAGTCCCTGTTAACTGAGAAGCCCCTGGGCTAAGTGAATCTTAGTTTCTGTGAACTGCAGGGGGGCCTGGCCCAACCTCTTGGTCTGTGCTGGTGCCAACTTGTGTGTCTAGCTCAGCAAGATGGGAGTGGAGGGAAGCCTTTTCTGGCAGGGGGGTTTGTTCTCAGTGGTATTCCAGCACATCTAGTGACAGTCTTGGGGGGGTTTCTGTGACCCAACCCATCACAATGGATTCTGTGACTTTGGCAGCTGCACTGGCTGGTGAGGCTAATCCTAGGGTCAGCTGCTGGGGAACCCTGTGTAGGGGCTAGCTGTCCAGCGCCAGGAGCTGCTAAGTTTTAGTCAGGGGTATTTATATAGTCAAAGTCATGAACAGATGACTGGCTGTGATTTCTTTGGTTTATTGCCTGTGACCTGTCCATGACTTTGACTAAAAATACCGGTGACTAAATCTTAGCCTTAACCATTAGATTGTCTAGTCTGACCTCCTCTATATCACAGGTCATTAAATTTCACCCACATTGATATGCCTTTTATAATTTTTAAAAGCACTAATCTTTTCCTTTTGCAGTCTCCTCTATATTTAGCTTTTTATTTTCAATGTTGTATGTGCATTGCTCCTTTTAAAATCTTTGTGAACACTAGGAAAACCTATAAGTATTTTTCTGCAGCTGAAGTGTAAACAAACAGGCTGCATGTGTTTTTACAATTGTGTTGTCATCTAACCTTGCTAATTGGTGTTGAAGACGTTAGTTTGCCCACCCCTGGTTTACATGATTTTTTTGGCCTGAGAGCCACATCGGGTTTCCAAAATTGTATGGAGGGCTGGTTAGGAGAGGCTGTGCCTCCCTAAACAGCCAGGCATGGCCTGGCCCCCAACCCCTATCCGACCCAACCCTGACGGTCCCTGCCCCAGGACTCCTACCCCATCCAACCCCCCCGCCCCATTTCCTGTCCCCTGATGTGTACCCCCAGCTCAGGACTCCTGCCCCATCCACCACCCCCTGCTCCCTATCCCCTGACCACCCCCGGACCTGCCTCCCCTGACTGCCCCCCACCGTCCCATCCAACCCCTCCTCTCCTTCCTGACTGCTTGGGACCCCTACCCCCATTCAACCCCCCTGTTTCCTGTCCTCTGACCGCCCTGACACCTATCCACACACCCCAGCCCCGACTATCCCCTCGAACTCCCCTGCCCTCTATCCAACCCTCCCTGCCCCCTGTCAGGCTGGGGCTCTGCAGCTGCACTGCTCCAGGAGCTTGCAGCCCCCCCGCCCAGAGCATTGCACCGGCGGTGCAGTGAGCTGAGGCTGTGCGGGAGGAGGAACAGTGGGGGAGGGGATGGGGGTGAGGCTCCTGGGCCAGGAGCTCAGGGGCCGGGTTGGAGCGTCCCGCGGGCCGGATGTGGCCCATGGGCTGTAGTTTGCCCACCTCTGATCTAAACAATAGCTCACACATAAGCTCCAGGGGTGTTATATTCTTTGTATAGGTAACCTGACCCTTGCAACTCTACCAGTGGTGGAAGCTGTTGTGGCACACAAGGACTTTTACCACTGTGTTATCTGATCCTGCTAATGTGGCCTGTGTGGTCTGCTTTCTGTACTCCACTGCACAAAGGTCAAGTTTGCCAGAAGTCATTTACCCATATAAATACACTTTTTAGTTAATTTTTTACTTTAGTATTTTTTATTTCTTTTTAGCACTATTTTTTAGTTCTTTTTAGTTCATTTTAGGAGTTCATTTTTATACTGTTTTCCCAGGGATCAACTTCTTTTGCTTCAGTCAATAATATTTCTCAGAGGTGGCCTTCCTATGGGTGTGTTGGCAGCTGGCCTGTGAACACTGATGACCATCATAAGGAGATCAAAGCCCAGCTGAATTCAATCATAAGCAATTCTTTTTTGTATGATGAGGAATTCA